CATCTCGAAAATCCCGGGATCGTAAAAAGCGAAAAAATTAACATCCCTAGTGGGTACCAATCGATTGTTAGAGATATTAGTGACTTTTGCTAGGAAACAAATTGCAGGGCTATGTTGTCGTACATCGAACGCGGCTGCCACTTGGAAAAAGATGGCAAAGCTGAAATTCGGAAGCGGAAATTGCTGGTGGCAATGCGAAACGCATATTATTAAATTAATCAAAAGCTTATGATATAAAAAAGTTAAATTAAGGAAAAAGTAATGTGCAATTAAGGACGTTTAGCTTGACTGAATGAATGATCGTGCAGGGGTGGATGTACATATCTGTGTTTTTCAATTAAAGTAGTCTAAGTCGGTATAGGCCCTTTTCCATTTGAAGCAACATTTCATTGGGTTCCCAAAAAATATTTTAACGTTTAACTAGTTATTTAGCTATAGGTGTAGATCAAGATGCCGTTTTAATAGAAGTTTGGTAGAGAAACTGGTCCTTCAAAATATTTATTACCTTCAACTTTATAGAACTTAACTATAGTTGCTATTCATAATATACATTTTCATTTCTGTGGCGTTGCTCATCGGCAACCCAACTGTGGTTGCGTTGCCGTCCATAATCGACTCTTTAGTTTTTAAACTATAATTTTTTTTTATTTAATTCAAAATCAAATCTAAAGTAATTTTCATACTTTTGAACATTTTTCTACAACCACGGCCACTTGTTGCTGGCCTAGATTTACATTTGTTGTTAGTGTGTGTTGTGTGTATGTTCAAAAGCGATGCGGGTGATCGATACTTAAGCAAATTGTTATTTAAGTAATTTTAGGCTTCATTGACTGTTTGGTTTATCTATTAACAACTTTAAATGAAATAAAATACGCGTAACTAACAAGTCGCAAGCGTAAATTTGTAAGCAGTTGAAGAACTACTTACTAAAAATAGTAAAAAAAGCAAATAATAAAAATTAAGTAGGAACGTATTCACTAAACATACTTACTAGTTTTAGCTTAACCTTTTCTGATGATTTTCTTGACTGATGTAAAAAATTATATGTATGCACATTATAATTAAAAATTGATTTATGGTCTTGACTCTTGGTGAAGGGGGGGAGGGGGGGCTTCACCCTGACAGCTGTCAAAGTAACGAGATCACAAAATCGTCACAATTTTATACTACATATACTTATACATATGTACATACAAATGTACATTAGACCGTCCCTCTTTCAAGCAAACAAAAAAAGTTCGCCGTCGCCCCTGAGACAAAAGTACTGAGATTGTTCACGCTTACCTTATCAGGTTATCTGGTTAAAAATTATATATTTTGTAGCGTATATTATTGTTGTAAACTGAATAAAACATATAACCGCATAACCACATAAGCTGATAACCAGGCAAGCATGAACAACCTCACATTTTTGTAAGAAAATTAAAAAAAAAAATTTTTTGGCCGACCCTCGGAGTTTGCTTTTTTTAATTTTTAAGATCCAATTGTAAATGCCAAAGATATGACGAAACATGTTAAAAGGTAACTCCAAAGTTCGCAAAAAAAATGGAAATTGCCTTCAAATTGAAATACTTTCTTTTTAGCGTGCTTTAGTTAACTGATATTAGGGTGGTACGTTAGGATGTTAGGAACTGAGATCTGATGGGCAAGTACTAAACTTGGGGCACTGAACTTTGGAAAAAAATTTTCTCTTCGCAAGCATTTATTAGTAAAAATGAAAAAAAAATAAATAACAAATGAACTGAAGTAAAACAAAACAAAATAATATAATATAATAAATTTAAAAAAATATTGTTAAACAAGGGGAAATAAAGTAAAATAAAATGAAGTTAATTAAATTAAATAAAATAAAAAAAAAACAAAATAAACAATACAAAATACAATAAAATAAAATAAAATAACAGCATGACATAACGTAACATGACATAACATAATAACATATCATAGAATGACATAGCGTAACATGACATAGCATAATAAAATAGCGAAACATGATAACAACATAATAATATAACATAACAGCATAACATAACATAACAAAATAACATAATATAACATAACAATATAATAATATAACATAACATAAATATATAAAACAAAAATAAAAAATGCCCTTTTAAACTGATGTTCACACAAATAGTCTGCATTATCTTACAGCTGCAACAACAAATACTGAAAGTTAGGGACTCAAACGGTGGCCAGCGAACCAGCAAACCGAGGAAAATTACACAGGGGTTCCACAGGGTGGTGCTTCCGCTGCTGTTTAATTATTATATTCCAAAGCTCCCTCAACCACCATAGGGAGTCTCTATGGTCTCTTATGTTGACGACTGCTCTATAATGACGTCCGGGAATGGAATTGATGACTCTCGCTCGAAAGTAAACAGCTAACTCGCTTCTTCACTGCAAGAAGCCAAACCCTCTCCCCTCTCCCCTACGTAAATCCTCGGCAACCCTTTTTACCACCTGGGTGAATGAGGTCAGACTTTTCTTTATTGGGGCTCTAAGAGTGCAACTCCACAACAAGCTGAATTGTTTAGACTGAAAGCCTGTAAAACGCGGAACGCCTGAAAAGCTTGTTGTGGAGTTGTACTCTAACCGCGTAAGCGATTTCGGCCTAGTCCAAAACAGCACGCCAGTCTTCTAAGCTAACTAACGCCAATTGCAAATGCGAAGTGAATCCAAGCTCCTTTCCCTGTCCCAACATAGGCCTCTCATGCTCCAATGCGCCGCGGATAATTCAGAGCAGAAGATTCTGCCATTGACCACTACACACGCATTTTATTCTCCTATGTCTATCGCGAACTTCTCGAAACACAAGAGCCGCTTTCGTCGCCTGCGTCCGCGATGTGATGTATAGAGATTTGTACGCGAGAGGCTTCTCATGCCACAGCTAAGAGAATGTTGCAGAGTGATTCTCGAGATTAGCTGGTTAGGTTCAATACGGTTTGCTTCAACTTGTAGTACAGGCTTTGCAAGAGCGATCGACCTTTTGCAGATATGTTCCTGTTCACCACCAGACGGTCGTCAGGTCGCTAGCCGGACAGTACGTAGGGCAAAGACTAAGAAACGTTGATGGCAACATAACAAGGCAATTGGCCGGCCGGTTCTAAACTATGCAGCGCCGGTGTGGTCGCCAGTTTATAAAACAACCTCTGGACCCGACAGCATACCGACAGGCCACGCATACGGGATTGGACGACGGATGACGAGTCGCTCACGACCTGTGAATGCCATTTTGGGAACACTCCACCCGACGTGAACGAGACAGAGTTTCGTCTGCCTCGGGAAACTCGCACAACCATAGCCCAACTTCGCTCTGGCTACTGCAGCAGGCTAATACTCCTACCTAAGAAAATTAGATGCAGATGTGCCCAACGAGTGCCTGGCATGCGGAGACCCCACGAATCGATATATCTCTTCACATGCCCTCTAAAGCACTCAACTAACAACTCTGTCCCTATGGGCAAACCCAGTCGGAGTTGTACGCTACCTGGGTCTCCCGTGAGTTGAGCTTGCCGACAACGATTGAGGGACAAGCCAAGCAAGGCAGGGCTGAGTAGCCGCTACAACAACAACCAAAGGTAGTGTCGAGTTTTGTTTTTTCGCAAATTAATTTAACCTTGGTCTTAGTGAAAATCTACAATAACTAACTTCACAAAGAAAAAAAAAATAAATTAAAAAGCTTGTTAAAAAATAAGTATGCATAAGCACATGAAACATAAAGCATCTTCCCTTTGTAAATTTTAACATATTAAAGAAACGTAAAGCTTTAATACTAACATAGCGTTGCATGTTCCAAGCTGCACTAACATCTTTGCCGGCGGAAATTCCCACACACATACGCACACTTTCACATCACTAATTAATTTAAATATTTACCGCACTTGTTTATATGTCACTAGCACTTGATTACGCCTTAAGTGCTTAGCTAGGGCACATTACTTGGTTTTCAGGGCTTGCGTAAAAATCAATGTACATACATATGTCGCCAATTTATTATTTATCTGTTTTTACAATTTGATCGATTGCCGGTAATCAATTAAAATATATTTTAAATATTGCATCACACTAATGCAAATATTTTTATGAATTTTGATAAATTGAAAAATGTCATAAAACTTATGTATGTATGTATATACCACTTATGTACATATTTAAATAAGCAAGTGCACGCAATTCGCGCTCTTTATCGAAAAAAACAGAAGAAAAGCACTTTTTTCAATTTTATTTTATTAAAGATAAAAAAACACATACTTATTTTGATTACTGATAACTTAGGTGCATCCATAAAATATGACAATTATACGTTTACGCCATTTATGACAGCTGTCATCGAATGGGTGCGTCCAGCACACCTGCCGTTCCCGGTATACTGAATATATTAATGCTCTGCATAGGTTTGTTAGACTTGTCACCTCACTGAATTACATAAATTGCGTCAGAAGTTTTAGTGAAGGCCACCCAAAACACGCCTATAACCTTGTATACTTTTCTTCGGTTTCTTTGGTTCTTATGGCTTGGCTCTAGATATTTATGTGCATATATGAGGCCATGAGAGCAGAAGTTGCCTAACTCAAAATTTTTTTTTTTGAACTAGTTTCAAATGTGATACATTTTAAAATAAAAGTCGATTATTCCTTTATTTTTAGATACAGAGCTGCTTAGCATACCATCAAATTAAGGAGTAAGCGACCTTCATTTTAAAATGTATCACATTTGAAACTAGTTTAAAAAGTTAAGTCAAAAAAAAAAATTAAAATTGTGACGCTAGGCCACTTCTGCTCTCATAGCCTCATATTATTTTGCTCATCATTTTAATTTATTTTATCTTAAGCCAAATATCTAATATTTGCTGATCGATAGGTAGGTATGCTTGTTATTTCAGCACGTACATAATTGTTTTTTATCTACATATCATTTCGTTTATATTTATGTGTTACATATTTTTAGGCTTATCCTAAATGTATGCAACGAAATATGAAATCAAACTATGCATACTAATCAACAGGAGGTACAATGATTGTACTCACTAATCCATAATGCAAGCATATTTTCCAAGCGGCCGGCGATGGTAGTTCGACATATTTCGATGAATGCAATTTTGTAAATTTTTCAAACATTAGCTTCTGATATTGCAAAACATATTTTGGATTTAGTTCTAAATACTCATCGCTTATGCTTTGCACACTTGCTGATGTTTGTGGTTTACGCTGCAAGCAGCCGGCCAACAAAGTTTGCAGCAATATGTGGTATGAACGCAGATTGAGTGGCAGCTTGTAGACGCCAGTGGTATTATGAAAAGTACAATATAAATTAACAAGGCAAATGAAGCACTGAAATTGAATGAAAACAATTACTTTTGAACTCAAATTATAGTACATATTTTTATATCTAAGTAAATACATATGTACCTAACTAATATCACTTACCGTTTTCAGGCGATACATTTGCGCCATTGTTTTAACCCCCACATAAGTCAACGCATCGAGCAAATATGTTTCCAATGCGTGGATCTGAACACCAAGCCACTGTTCTGAACTTTTCGTTAAATCTTTGCTACGTGATAGTTTAATGCAGCCATTCACCAGCAACTCAATGGCGTATACATCTGAAATTGTTGAGAAATTGACATGTAAAATATTGAGTTTAGTGCTCAGCGGATTTGTCTTACCAATAAAAATCTCATGTTTATTGGAAAGCTCTTGTAGCTGTGGCTTTTCCACAAGTCTTGCATGCAGCGTACGAACTAGTGACTCCAAGGTGTCCAAAACATCGTAGTCCACCTGCAGCAGTACGCAGAGCTTTTGTAAAATATTGTAGTAGGCACGCACTTGCGCCACGCGAGGTTGCTGTAAAATGTGTAAGTTTTAAGCCGTTTTACAAATTTCTTTAAATATTTTATACCTTCTTGTCATCAGGTGCTGGCAGTGAGCGTTCTATTTCCACAAATTGTGTGTACGCATAAACACCACACATTTCCATTTTATCGAAATTTTTAGTTTCTTCAATGAAGCGTGTAAATTGCATAAATAAATTTAGTAGATAAGGATATTTAAAATTCAGGTCACTTTTGAACTCCGATATGAAGTAGTTTTCAAAATCAAGAAAATACTATGGGAGGGTAATGTACAAAAACCGTTCAAATCGAATTATATATTAATTTTTGTTTTACCAATACCTCATTAACAGCACCATAGCTGCCACGTAGCAGTTCCAGCTCGGTGATACTATATAACTGCAGTAGAATGCCTTTCAAGCACTGACTATCTAACAGTGTGAAGAGAGTTGGCAGCGTTCGGAGCACGAATATAATTTCCGGTGCATATTTTTCTGGAAAGGATAGCTCCATTATTAATAAAATACTTGAAAATGTGAAAACAAACTTTAAATTTTACCGATATTCGATATCATTTTGCTATAAATTACAATTGTAAATTGCGCAATGAAATAGCGCATTTCTAACGGCAAACTCTGATCCTTTAACAGTTCAAAATAAATGTCCAAAGACTTCATATAAGAAAAATTGGGCCATANTGCATTTCTAACGGCAAACTCTGATCCTTTACCAGTTCAAAATAAATGTCCAAAGACTTCATATAAGAAAAATTGGGCCATATAGCAGCGATATAGTGTGGCAGCAAATCAATAGTGTTCTACAAAATATTAAACAAAAATCGGCTTGAGTAATACAAATTTCACTACTTTAAATAACACAAAGTCACTTCACCATTTCTGTAAAGTAATATTCAAGAATGTGTTTTAGAAGAAAATCATCTGTGTTTGCCTTGCGTCGGGCCATGTTTATATAGAGCTCAGCGGCCAATAAGGAAAGGTTTTCATCAGCGTGCAATGTCAGTCCAAGTATAGCCTCGAGAAATATTTCCGAGAAGCAATCCAAGTCAAGTAGTTGCCTAAAACGCAAATTTAAAAATTATTAGGCTTTCACTAAATTATAATTTTTACCTCTGGAGCTCATTCAAAAAATTTAGAGCTGCCAATAGTAAGCGCTTAGTCTTCTCCAATTTCAAAATTGTATAGAAAATGTCCTGCATATCCTTTTCAATAAGAAAACTTAAAAATGTGCGGTAGACTCTTGAATCTTGCTCTGTTGAAAATTTGTGCAGCATTCGCGTGAAGCACTTAAAAATATTACAATGAGTTGCTTTGTGTTGCTGTATTAAAAAAAAAATTAAAAATTTGTATACTGTTAAATAAACTTTGCTTGGGACTTTTACCTCCACACTGAAGCTATAGTAAAAGAATTTGAAAGCGTCATTAGCAAAAGCCTCGCTTACACCGAAATGCTTCTCCGCCAGAATGAGGAGGCCATCAGAAATGTCTGCATGACATTCTTTAAAGCTGCGAATTTTAGAAAACAATTTTATACATATTTGTTGTTTAAAATGCAAAATTCAAGCCTACAATAATCCCTGCAGAGCACTATCCAGCAAACGTGCGCAAATTTCATCTAAATGGTCAAAGCGGGTGGGATATTTCTTCCTAATTTCATGCACGCCAAGGAACAATCTATAGTCTGTCGATAACACAAAAATTAAAAACTAAGATAAAGTCAGTTAACTGTGAACAAACTTATGCGCGCAAGCGGTTCTTGAAAGTACTGCACTTGTATATCCAATTCCTGTTCTAACAAATCCGTGTAGCAATTGCACCAAACGGCCAACAGCTGCAATAAATGCCAAATCGGTTCGGCATTCACAGCTGCGCTTGCATTTTCTTGTTCGTCCCTCGCAGTACGACATAGCTGCTTAAGAAAACGCTCGAAGGCGCTAAAGAAAATCGTATTGCAATGGAACATGTAGTGGCGGCAGCCAGCTGCTTCCCAATCGAATCCGTTTCCTGCTTGCAATTGCTGCACTGTAATGCTAGTATGCAATCCAATTGCTTTGAATAATTCATTAATTAAATCCGCTGTCAATTCTAAGCTAAGTTCGCCTTCAGACCTCGATCTAAACAGCAGTTGCCTCATGCAGCGCTCGGCCTCGACCTGTAAGTCGACATAAAAGGTATATAGCCAGCGTATAAATTTATTAAAAAGCTCACCTCTGGTTTGCAACCATATTTCAAAGCACCCACAAAATTCATAACGTTGGCAAGAGTTATTTTCCCAAGGCAAAAAATTGTTTAATTGCAAGGCGGGAACGCGAAGTTTTTGTCCTTGAAAGCTGACTTGTAATAGGGGCCTTTACACTGTCAAAGTGTTTGATCAAATTAAGTGTCGGTGTAATTTTATGGTTTGATTTACAGGTGTCAAAAAACCTTTTAAACTATAATTTTTCGTTTATGTTGAAGTTTTATCACTAGAAAAAAGTCATAATTAGTGCATTTTTCATTGCATATATTGCGTTGTCATATAATCAGATACAAATTGTAAAAAGATATAAAAATTAACTCAAGAAAAGAATTCGGACGAATGATTTTTATAAAAAAAAACCAACATCTTGAACAAATCACACCTTTGATCGTCCTGTAATGGACCATCGATTTTGATGAAAATCAAAACTACTTTGAGGTCTGTTCGATGAAGGCACTAGAATACTCTAGGGCAGGAAAAAGCGTTCTATGAGCCTTTTTCTTGCCCTGAACGTATGTGTTCTCTGGGGCTTAATATGAGATATTCTTCTGCACTGCACTGTTCTACACTTTTAGTGCATTCATCGAACAGATCTTTGGTTTTAGTTAAACAGCTACTAAACTCATAAGCGGGGTCTACACGATCCAACATGTGTGACAACATGGTTTAGGGCGAGCATAACTGTAAGAAATCAAAAAATTGTTTAACCAGTCAACATATGTGTTGATAAAATCCACTTTCTCCTTTTATTTTATTAGCATTCGGTTATCTTATAGAAATTTTTTTCAACAAATTTTCAAATAAGATTGTGTCAATTCTTTCTTCTCGCTCGCATATGTTGAATTGCATAAACCCCGCTGTGCATGTGACACATCCGTAAAAAATCTCACTAGCCCATAGACGCAAATTTATGAGACAATTTGACCGTGTAGGGCCCCCATAAGCTAACCGTTAGCAGATGTAAACAAGTGCATGGTTGCATGGGAGAATCGATATATGCCGGTCAGGGCAAATTATCGTGGAATTCACGCTTCAAACTCTACTTTATAACAAGCTTTGGACACGTCGGTGATTAATATTAAACCACCTATTTAGCCTTTTTCAACCAGAAATAAATTCCCTTATGGAATTTATTTAATTTAAACTGTTTTTTTTTTAATACTTCCGGTCTCTTGCTTCCTTTTCCGTTCGTTTATTAAATTAAACGCGCATACGGCAACGCTCGTGGTCAGCAGCAGTTGAGCCAGCTGTTCACTGCTGACACGTTTAGGGCACATATGTTTTCCTTTTTCTCAAAATTCCAATTTATTTATCATTTTTGTTATTACACCAGCAAACGAAACAAAGTGTCCTAAATTTAATCTCAATTGGCCATCACCATAATGGAACCTGAACATGACGACACCTGGTATCTACGCCCGCTTTCCGATCCTAGAACGACGTGAGTGCATTCTTATGGCATTACGCATATTTTTCACATTCTCAACTGTTTTTTCTCCATATATATATATATAAGGAATGCTCCTGTCCAAACAGCTCCCGCCAAAGTTGAGATCAAGACTGAACTGCAGGAGTTGCGTCTCTCAGAGGCTTCACAAAAAATGACAATGGAAACACTGCGTGCAATACATGGACCAGATTTTCGTCTCAATGATGCTTCGTTTTATAATGATCGCGGTGGTCACATGAAGAAGGCATATTGGGAAGACCGAGGCACGTTGGTTGTGCAAAGCATTACCAACTATTCAGCCAATAGCGAAAAAACGGAGACACCCGAAGACCGATTAAGGCGTTTCGCTTTGCTAAAGCTGGAGAATTATGGGTTCGCTCCCTTACATTGTGTCGAGGCGTACGACCATTGTGGTGGTGATACGGATGCCGCATTGTTGTTGCTTTATCGCAAATACATGCGTATACCAGAGACAAAGCCGAATGAGTCGTATAGTGTGTTGTTAAATAATGACATTAATAAAGGCGAACTGCTGGAGATGCGAAATGATGAGAAATCAGCGCTGGAATCTATTTATGATGAAGTTTTTGAGGAGAAAGAGAAAAATACAGTTTGGAGTCTAAAATTCAAAGTAGACCACCTGTTGATACACAGCCCGTCGGAGAGACGTAAGCGCACCGGAGTGCCAGAGAAAACCGCCAAGCAGAAGGTGAAATCAACTGTAAATGGAAAAGCGCGTTGCCGTAACTTCGATCGCGATGGCACATGTAAATTCGGCGGCAAATGCCGATTTGCACACGTAGCGCCGGTAGTGGATGAAGAAGAGGCGCAGCGTAAAAAGAAAGAAGGTAAAAAATCGTATTCTTATACCCTTTTTATTAATCAGCTTATCTAATCTTTATAGGTTTCCAAGATGAGAATGAAGAGGACAACTGGTTCTTCCTAGAAATACGCTTCCCACCCGATACAAATTATCCATATGAAGCGCCATTTATCTACCTCAAAACAACCTGCCACGACTTGCCGCGCGATTTACTTTTACTTGTGGCGCGTCGCTTATATCGTGAGGCACGCAACATTTGCGCTGATGGCATGGGCTGTGTATATAGCATAAGTGAGGCACTACTAAACGAGGAGGCTTATGTACAATTACCAATTGGTGACGACTATCCATTTCCTTCGGACGCGAAATCGCTTTTCGCCACCAGTGATAGTAGTGAAACTGACGCGAATGGTGGCATGCCTGTAGTGCTTCCTAAACATTATGAACGCGGTCAAACTTCCCACACTGAGCAGCAACGATCAGCTAAGCAGACGGAGAATGAAGATCGCGTGCTGATGCGACGCTTTTTGCAGCGACAGGAAGATGAGCGTTATCGCAAAATGATGACTGGGCGCCGCAGTTTGCCTGCATTTGAAAAAATGCTGGAAATTTTGGGGCTAATAGAAACTTCGCAAGTAAGTTCGCAGTTTTTTAAATGCGAAACCATTGGACTTTAATATTAATTTTTGTTTATAATTTCAGGTTATTGTTATATCCGGCGAAACTGGTTGCGGCAAATCCACACAAGTGCCTCAATTCATCCTAGATAACTGGTTATTCCAGGCTTCCAGACTCACCGCCTCGAACAAAATGCCACACGTCGAAGTGGTGTGCACGCAACCAAGACGCCTCTCAGCAATTGGTGTTGCCGAACGTGTCGCCGATGAACGCACAGAACGTGTCGGTCAAACCGTGGGCTATCAAATACGACTAGAGAACAAAATTTCATCAACCACGCGTCTAACCTTCTGCACCACTGGTATATTGCTGCGAAGACTCACCGCTGATCCGCTGCTTAGCAGCGTGTCGCATGTCATAGTCGACGAAGTGCATGAGCGCAGTGAGGAGTCCGATTTTTTGCTAATGATACTAAAGGATCTGCTGAAAGAACGGCCTGATCTCAAAGTGATACTAATGTCTGCTACATTAAATGCGAAATTGTTCTCGGAGTACTTTGGTGGTGCGCCTGTGCTGGACATACCCGGGCGTACATTCCATGTAGAACAATTGTTCCTCGAGGATATACTGGAGGTGTGTGACTATGTAATGGAATGTGATTCACATTATTGTCGAAAGATCACGAAAAAAGAAGAGGAAGAACTAATGCGAGAGTTGGAATATTCAGACGTGAAAGCCGAGGGGGCAGTACCGGCAAAGAGCATCAAAGATGATAAGCTTACTCTGGCGCAAATGTACGGACGATACAGTGGTGAGTGGGAGTCGTTAAAGGGAAAATTTTGGCCAGTTTTTTAAATTATATTAAGCAAGAAAAAACAAATACAAAGTTTAAATATTTATTTAATTGCCTTGAACTTAAAAAAAAACTCAAAAATCTCTTTCTTTTATTCAGATTATTCAAAGAAAACGTGTAAGAGTATCTACCTCATGGAGCCAATGAAAATCAATCCCGAATTGGTGGAGTCTGTGCTGAAATACATTGTGGAAGGGGAGCATAATTGGCCTAAGGAAGGCACGATATTGGTGTTTCTACCTGGTCTACAAGAAATTCAGACAGTACATGAAGCGCTCGCTGATAGCGCGCTATTTGGGAATAGGTAATTTTGATACCTCATAAAAAGTTTCAACTGAAATACTAATTTCCATTTTCTCATTCTAGAAGCGGCAATTATATCGTCATACCACTCCACTCATCTCTCTCCAGCGAAGAGCAATCGGCTATCTTTCGTCCCGCACCTAAAGGCAAGCGAAAAATAGTGCTTAGCACCAATATTGCTGAAACCTCACTCACCATTGACGATTGTGTATTTGTGGTTGATTATGGTTTGATGAAGGAAAAGCGTTTCGACGCCAATCGTAATATGGAATCGCTGGAATTGGTGTGGGTATCGCGCGCAAATGCATTACAACGCAAGGGTCGTGCAGGTCGTGTCATGCCAGGTGTTTGTATACATCTCTTCAGTGGTCACCGTTTCTGGCACAATTTCCTAGCACAACCAGTGCCGGAAATACATCGCGTACCGCTGGAACAGCTGGTGCTGCGCATCAAAACGCTGCCCTGCTTCAGCGAAAAGAATACACTTGAGGTGTTGGGTCGCACGCTCGAGCCACCCACCGAGGAAAATATACTATCCGCTGTGCGTAGATTGCAAGATGTCGGCGCCTTAGATGAAGCGCAGAATTTAACGTCGCTGGGCCACCATCTGGCAGCGCTGCCGGTAGATGTGCGCATTGGCAAGCTTATGTTGTATGGCGCGATCTTCCAATGTTTGGACAGTGTACTCACCATAGCCGCATGCTTGAGTCATAAATCGCCGTTTGTGAGCCCTTTCAATAAGCGTACGGAAGCGGAGAAGCGGAAAAGGGAATTCGCCATTTGTAATAGCGATCATTTGACCATGTTGTTAGCCTATAAGGTGAACACAGAGCTAAGTTTTCTTTATTAAGAAAGATTAATTTCAATTTAACCTTTCAGAAATGGCTAGAAGTGTCGCGGCGCAACTTTTACGCCAGCCGGAACTATGCAGATGAGCACTTTCTCTCTTTGAAAACATTGGATACAATTTCGGAGGTCAAATACCAATTTTTGGAACTCCTTGTTTCGATTGGTTTCGTACCTATGAATATACCGAGAAAACGCAAGAACGCCACCGACAACATTCTCGAATTGACTGGTAAATAAGTTTTAACTTTACGCATATCTACGTTCTAACCCTTAATTCTTTGCACACATGTAGGTGCCGATTTGAATGTAAATGGCGACAATAATCGCCTGCTAATATCTCTACTCTACGCTGCGCTCTATCCCAACATCGTAAAGGTGCTGACACCGGAACGCAGTTACGTTTCGACTGTTGGCGGTGCAATGGCCAAAATGAATTCAGCGAAGGATTTGCGCTTCAAGACACGACTAGATGGTTTTGTCGCCATACATCCATCTTCGGTGAATTCGGTTGTTGGCACTTTTCAATCACCTTTCCTCATCTACCAGGAGAAAGTAAAAACCTCACGCATATTCATACGTGAATGCTCTATGCTGCCATTGGTGCCGTTGGTGCTGTTCGCGGGCAGTGATTTCAAAATTGAATTACATAGCGGCGATTTCCTGTTCCTGCTCGAAGAGGGTTGGATCATTTTGAAAGCGCACACGCATGAAACAGCTGAGATGATACAGTGTTTGCGTTTGGAGTTACTTAAGCTGCTTGAGGAGAAAATCAGTGATCCTTGTCTAAATTTGTTAAATCATGAAAATGGTTTGAAGATAATTAAAACGATTGTACATCTAATAACAAATAATAATTAAGTAGAAGAAAATGTGTGAATGTATTAGATAATCTGTATGTGAGTGTGTTTGTGAGTTCTAAACAAAATCATCAAAAAACGTGATAAAATTTTGTAAGGTTTTGTAAACCACTTAGTTATTTCCTTTAATACTAAATATAGTAGGGCCGTTCAGGATCTTGTGCATATTCGCTTGCATTTGCATATTCGTTGTACTTGTAAATTCACAACAACCAAATGCTCGCGGTTTTCATTACAGCAAATGCTATTCCAACTGCAAATTCCAGACCATTTCCACAACGTACTTAACGGACCTAGTATCTTTTAGCATGGAAATTTACAATGTAGTGTCATGTACAACCTAATAGCAAACCTGATGTACTAAAACGCATTATTTTATCAGAGGTGAGTTTTATTTTCGTACATTTGTTATTTTTTCCCTAAATAGACAATGTAAATTATACTAAAATTTAATGGGTTAATAAACTTTCTACTCAAAACTCCATTTAATTTGAAATTTTAAAACCTGCTTAATGCAAACTAAAAAAAAAAAAACATTCGGAAATGCATCATCAAAAGAAAAAAATGTTCGAATAACTGCAAAAAAGAACGTTCGGAAACGCATCCATCATCAAACACATTTTTTTCGAATAACGGAATGAAAAAAATGTATCATCAGGTGTACCCTGCAAATTTTCAACCTTGGGCATGCGTTTCCTTTTTGTAGTACTGCGCCTAAAAATATACACCACGGCTGCAGCACAACACGCCACTGCACTTATTTTTATGACCTTACTGGCCGTCTCCACAGGATAAAATTTATTGCAGTCCAACTGTCATCTTGGTTGCTAGATTTACGTTATATCAGTGGCAACATATGTGTGGGCTTTTTATATCTTGATATAAGCATTTCTAAGATGGCTTCAATTATGTTGCCGCCACAAAGTTTTCATGCAAATGTAAATGTAACTGTCAAACTATCAAATCATCGGCAATAGATGGCAAGATAAGCTCTGATATATATTGCTCTTGAATTACAATGAGAGGTCTCCATTGGCTATTTATATTCTAACATACATATGTATCAAGATGTAAACTTTATCCTGTGGAGACGGCCAGTTACGTGGGTTTCTGAAACCCAATCATCCTATGGCAAGATACGGAAGTCGCCATAAGGTTACATATTTTTAGACTTTTTAATACCTTTTTTCTTTTTGTTAAAAGGATTAAACCAAAAATATATATATTGTAATGAAAAATATATACACAAATAGCTTGAAGTAATCAGGACAGATAAAGTACACTATACTCATCCAGTCTAAAAACGTAGTTGGGCAAAAGAGAAAGCACGCTCCTGATGTTCACACTCGCTACAATTATAAGGTCGGTGTTATGCAGACAAACTTTTGTTTGCCAAATTAAATGGCGGCTGCTTAGTTTGCTCGGAGGTGGTTATGTCGAGTTTGGCACAGGGTTGCACGTTCATTATGGTTTTCATGGCTATTGCCAACACGAAATGAGAATTTCAGATGTACATAACGCGCACAATTTAAAATTTTTGTATGTGACAACACCGAATTTGCTGCAGTTTGACCAAACAAAATTAGTTTGCTGTGAGAGTCGCCAAACTCGCTCTCTCCGAGTTTGCTACAACAACAATTGCACGCAGTTTGCCAAACAAAGTTTCTGCATAACACCAACCTAACATGTTGTCTCTTCTTATACATTTACGTTCTTTGGTTTCACCATGTGAAGTAATGGGATATTTCGTCGCTTGTGTGGTGTATTTCGCTCTTAAACTCGATAATTCAAATTGTTTTGGTTTTTTCATTATTACATCTCTAACATGTTACAGCTGTCAACTTGGCAACGCTTGAAAATTTTTGTTTGCGCCAAAGGGGGTAGCATTTTACGGAATTCCATTGCTAAGCAATTTTCTGCACATTTAGTAAATAAATAAATAATTTAAACCGGTGGATATAGTGAAAAAGTGCTTAAAACAACACGGAAGATGAGTTTGAGCCTCTGCCGCAAGCGGCGTTCCAAAGAGAACAGCGATGCTTCGACTGTTTGTACCAACATTAGCACAGCAGCTACGCAGGGAAATCACACAAGTGCGAAACAACGCAAAATAAATGAGCTTGCTGCTGATCCCCTAGCAAATAACGCAGTGGCACAGGATAACATACCAACATGTAGCCAAGCAAAGAGGCAGAAGCGGATTGAAGTACGACAAGTGAGTTGAAAACGCTTTACCTTTTCCTCGCTGTGGAATTCAAATTCTTACGTATCTCTATCAAATTTATAGTCAAACGCTTCAAGTTCGCAAATAGCGCTAGATACGTTTCGTTGTGGCAAGATCAATAAGGTAGTTTTGGTAAATTTTATGTGTCATGCCCATTATCGCATCGAAATGCATCCGCGCGTCAATTTTATGGTTGGACGCAATGGTTGCGGCAAAAGCGCTATACTCGCTGCACTTGTTGTCGGAATGGGTGGACGTGCACGAGCCACTAATCGCTCGACGGCATTACACAGTGAGTGACTACATAAATATATTTGTATTTTAAAAGTGCTAAAAGATACATAACCTCCATTTAAACATGAAAGGACATGTTCCTCGCAGAAACTGCACAGCTTCTGGCAACTATTTGCAACTGTGCAGTAATTTTGAAGTGCCAATTCTCCTTTTAATATTTTTAAAATGTTTTCTCAGGTTTAATAAGAAACGGTCAAAGTACAGCGCGCGTCGAAATCACCATCTCCAATGAGGGTCCTGAGGCTTTTAGACCTGAAGAGTATGGCGATGAAATAACAATTGTGCGTAACATCACACAAACAGCTAGTAATTACAAAATTAAGAATGCACATGGACGCGTTGTATCAGATAAATTTGACGAATTGAAGCGGATCATAGAAATACACAATATACAAGTTGATAACCCGGCATTTGTAATGAATCAAGATAGTGCGCGTGAATTTTTGAAGGAGTAAGTAAGATGGGTGGAACTAAAATTAATTAATGGGCTCTGTAGTACATATTTATGTACGTATGTATATGGAAAACTAATTTTCTACATATTTACAGCATGGAACCAAAGAAAAATTATCAACTATTTTTAAAAGCCACACAGCTCGATTCAATACAGGATCAGCTGTACAAGTGCTATTATGAATATCAGGATCACAAACAACGTTTGAAACATATAGAAAAGGTTTGCGTGTACATATATTTTTATTTTTAACCGACTTCAATAAAAAAGGAACGTTATCAATTCATCGGAATATTTTGTTAATGTATGTCACCGGATAACTTGGACCACGTAAATAGTTTTCGATTATTCGTGGTCCGATATTAATTTGGTTTAGTTCCGATCATTATGCCATGAAGAAATTTACGGTACTCCCAAATTTTTATATGAGCATTGAAGTCGGTTGTATTTGTTGCATAAAAATTACTTGTTAAGCTAAAAACTTAGTGTTTTATTTAATTTTTTTTTTACAGAAATTAGAGCAGGATCAACAAAGGATCGCAGAACTAGAGTCGGAACATCGTAAATTGTTATCATTTGCACAACTTAAAGTATGTTAAACACTAATTAATATTTGAGAACAGCAAAAACAAATGTTTCCAATAATTACAGCATGAAATAAATCAGAAACGTTCTGAATACGAGTGGTCATTGGTAAGTCGCTTGGAGCAGGAAATTAACAAAGTGGAAGAAGCGCTTGCAGAGGCTCTAAGCGAACGTGAGAAATTGGAAGAGCAATCTCTGCGCAAAAATGAAATTGAAAATGAACGCAAAACTGAGATAGAGTGAGATTGCATATTTTCCTACCCTTTTATGCAGTAACTGCAACATTCTTTTATTATCTTTTTTATGTTGCCATTTTAGCCGCTGTATGGAAATAATCCATCTTAACCGGGCAGAATACAGTGAAAAAAATGAAAAATGCCAAAGCATCAATGCGAGATTGAAAGAAAAGGCAAACAATTGTCATAGCTTGAAATATGACGTCGAGAATTATAAAAAGCGTGTTTCGCATTTGGAATCGATAATAGTTGATTTGCAGCAAAATATCGCACAGCGTTCAAAGTTAGTACGCGTATTTTTATTTACAATCCGGTTCGAAAAAGTTGTTCACTCTCATTAAACAAAAATGATTTCTGCTTTTTTAAAATTATTACAATAGATCAATGGGTGTTGAAGAACTGCGGCGTCGCAATGAAGCTGAACTGGAGACTTTACGCAAAACACATCGCGAAAATAAGGCAATGAGTATATCAGCTAAGCGGGAGCATGAAATTTTTGTAGAGAACAAATCGCAAAAGGAGGAAGAATGTAGAAATTTTAAACTCCAAATGGACAATTGCGGTCGCAGAATTGGTGAGTGGTGGCGCACATATTTCTAACAAAACTTATTTTTAACTTTTATTGCCATTTTATTTCTCGCTTTCGACAGATAAGCTTAAGCGCGATATTGCAAATTTACAAGCGAACAAAAAGAATCGCTATTCGATTTATGGACAAGAGATGCAAGCACTTTTGGATGAAATAGAGCGCCATTGCCGCGCACGTAAGTTCAGCGATCGCCCGCGTGGTCCCATCGGCAGTTATCTGGATGTGCCGGAACAGAAATATCGTGATGTGGTTGAGAATCAAATTGGCGGTTTGCTGCGTGCATTCATAGTGAACAATACAGCCGATCGTGTGTTATTAAATTCGATTATAAGACAACGTTTACCGAATATGCAAGTGACAATTGTAACGGCTAAATTTTCAAATAAGGTATGGTAGCAGATATTTAGAAACGTATCTATATTGCTACTTATTTGTCTTATTTATTCCTTCAATCGCCAGGTGCACGATGTGCGTTCCGGTCGTGTACGTCCACCGCCAGGCACCTATTTACTTTACGATGTCATCAAGTGTCGGGACCCAGTGGTTATGAATTGTTTAATCGATCAGCTGAGTATTGAGACAATTCTGTTGACGGACACCAAACATGTTGCAGAGAATTTTACCATGCAACAGGAGCAGGTGCCGCATAATTTGCGTAAAATTATTGTAGCAACAGAGCCGGCTTTAGAGTATTATCCCGATCCAAGGTTTCGTATGTACTCGTTTAAGATCCGACCTGCACGTTTCATACAAGTAAATGTGGACGAATGTATCAGGTGTGTAAAAATCTTCATAGTTTTTTTTGTAACAAGTTCTTTAATATCAATATTTTTTAAGGCAACTTGAACAAGAGTATCGTAGAATCGAAAATGAGCGGCTGGGATTCCAAGATTCATTTGCAGAATCAGAACGCGATTTGCGTAACTCTATACAACAGCTCAAAGAGAAACTGGCACTAATGCAGAAGCATACAGTGGAGGTCACACAGTTGGAGCAACGCATTGCCGATTTGGAAAATTATGAATATCCCGACACAAATGAATCCTGTGTTTTGGTAAGCAGGCAGTTTTGTGGTGCATATGCGAATGTTTCAAAAACATAGTTTTATAATTTTTTTGCATTTTTTTTTTATCAAAGCAAAAAGAGCTTGCTGAAAATGAAGAGAAACTGCAGAAATATTTGCAAACATTGGAACAGAAAAAAAGGGAGTGCACTCTAGCTGAGAATGAGAAACAAAACGTTGAAATTGAGCTGCGGAAGCATATGGACAAACTGAATGAAATACAGGCGAAAATACGCGAAAAAGAGGTAGGCAAATTAAAGTAATGTTTGTTGGGGAAAAATGGAGAATCTTCTTTGCTTGTGTCTTGTTAATGTGAGACATTCTTAGCACAGACGTGAAACGGATGAAAAATTTGGTCGGTTTAGTTCTAGGGTTCGAACCATTTTTGTGCTTTGGATTTGGTCATCGAACCTTATTTTTTTTCTGTTGCTTTCAACCGGGGTTTCGGTTCGGTTCAGTGGCAAGAAGAACGGCTTCACAAATTTTAGAAGACTTACTGTTGATTGGGAAGGGAAAGTTCCAACAGAAAAAGACTTCAACACGCCGTACACGGGCATTATGCGTTTTGGTCAAAAACCGTGAACAGTTTTTCAAAATCGTAAACTTCACTGGGGTTTCAGCAACATTTACTGCATTAAATACTGCACTTCTATCGCACGGAATTTGACACATTAAAGTTTTACTCATTGTACCGCCCATTTCCTCTAATACTGCTGGAATGTCTATCGTTAAATCATTACCTAAAATAGATAAGTTAATGGCCCTTAGGTTTGGAATCACATGCTTCACCCTTCTATTTCTCGTCTAACTTAATTTCCTCACTTTAAAATTACAGAACGAATCTAATGAATTACAAATGCGCTTGCGCAACTTATCGACCAATTACCAAAAGTTTGAAGATAAAAAGCGGCGCATCGATGAATGCGTACAAACCGAAGAGGTGAGTTCGAAACAAATGCCTTAGAAAGTTACTGAATTTCTATCGAAAACCTTTCTTTGAAAACACAAAAAAAAATATTTTTTGCAGACAAATAAAAAACGCAAACAAAAGGAATTAGACAATCAATTGAAAGTCGCGAACAAGCGTGGTGAACGTATAGATACTGAACGTGCACCCGATGATATACTCGATGATATTAAAATAAGTGAAGTTAAATTAAGGCAAGGTGCACCGATCAAAGAGGATCCCAAGAAGCTCGAGGAGGAAATTAAGCGTTCGAAGCGTACATTAACCGTTGATCGGAGCACGTTGAAGACATTTAAGTTGGTTGCTGAGCAACTGCGCCAATCACAATCGAAGCGTATGTACTTTGTTAAAAGTTTCAAGGGTCATATGGTGACAATGTTGCAGTATACATTCAATGTGAGTAGTTGCTTCTTGTCGCGGCAGTTTATTTTTNACAGCGTTCAAAGTTAGTACGCGTATTTTTATTTACAATCCGGTTCGAAAAAGTTGTTCACTCTCATTAAACAAAAATGATTTCTGCTTTTTTAAAATTATTACAATAGATCAATGGGTGTTGAAGAACTGCGGCGTCGCAATGAAGCTGAACTGGAGACTTTACGCAAAACACATCGCGAAAATAAGGCAATGAGTATATCAGCTAAGCGGGAGCATGAAATTTTTGTAGAGAACAAATCGCAAAAGGAGGAAGAATGTAGAAATTTTAAACTCCAAATGGACAATTGCGGTCGCAGAATTGGTGAGTGGTGGCGCACATATTTCTAACAAAACTTATTTTTAACTTTTATTGCCATTTTATTTCTCGCTTTCGACAGATAAGCTTAAGCGCGATATTGCAAATTTACAAGCGAACAAAAAGAATCGCTATTCGATTTATGGACAAGAGATGCAAGCACTTTTGGATGAAATAGAGCGCCATTGCCGCGCACGTAAGTTCAGCGATCGCCCGCGTGGTCCCATCGGCAGTTATCTGGATGTGCCGGAACAGAAATATCGTGATGTGGTTGAGAATCAAATTGGCGGTTTGCTGCGTGCATTCATAGTGAACAATACAGCCGATCGTGTGTTATTAAATTCGATTATAAGACAACGTTTACCGAATATGCAAGTGACAATTGTAACGGCTAAATTTTCAAATAAGGTATGGTAGCAGATATTTAGAAACGTATCTATATTGCTACTTATTTGTCTTATTTATTCCTTCAATCGCCAGGTGCACGATGTGCGTTCCGGTCGTGTACGTCCACCGCCAGGCACCTATTTACTTTACGATGTCATCAAGTGTCGGGACCCAGTGGTTATGAATTGTTTAATCGATCAGCTGAGTATTGAGACAATTCTGTTGACGGACACCAAACATGTTGCAGAGAATTTTACCATGCAACAGGAGCAGGTGCCGCATAATTTGCGTAAAATTATTGTAGCAACAGAGCCGGCTTTAGAGTATTATCCCGATCCAAGGTTTCGTATGTACTCGTTTAAGATCCGACCTGCACGTTTCATACAAGTAAATGTGGACGAATGTATCAGGTGTGTAAAAATCTTCATAGTTTTTTTTGTAACAAGTTCTTTAATATCAATATTTTTTAAGGCAACTTGAACAAGAGTATCGTAGAATCGAAAATGAGCGGCTGGGATTCCAAGATTCATTTGCAGAATCAGAACGCGATTTGCGTAACTCTATACAACAGCTCAAAGAGAAACTGGCACTAATGCAGAAGCATACAGTGGAGGTCACACAGTTGGAGCAACGCATTGCCGATTTGGAAAATTATGAATATCCCGACACAAATGAATCCTGTGTTTTGGTAAGCAGGCAGTTTTGTGGTGCATATGCGAATGTTTCAAAAACATAGTTTTATAATTTTTTTGCATTTTTTTTTTATCAAAGCAAAAAGAGCTTGCTGAAAATGAAGAGAAACTGCAGAAATATTTGCAAACATTGGAACAGAAAAAAAGGGAGTGCACTCTAGCTGAGAATGAGAAACAAAACGTTGAAATTGAGCTGCGGAAGCATATGGACAAACTGAATGAAATACAGGCGAAAATACGCGAAAAAGAGGTAGGCAAATTAAAGTAATGTTTGTTGGGGAAAAATGGAGAATCTTCTTTGCTTGTGTCTTGTTAATGTGAGACATTCTTAGCACAGACGTGAAACGGATGAAAAATTTGGTCGGTTTAGTTCTAGGGTTCGAACCATTTTTGTGCTTTGGATTTGGTCATCGAACCTTATTTTTTTTCTGTTGCTTTCAACCGGGGTTTCGGTTCGGTTCAGTGGCAAGAAGAACGGCTTCACAAATTTTAGAAGACTTACTGTTGATTGGGAAGGGAAAGTTCCAACAGAAAAAGACTTCAACACGCCGTACACGGGCATTATGCGTTTTGGTCAAAAACCGTGAACAGTTTTTCAAAATCGTAAACTTCACTGGGGTTTCAGCAACATTTACTGCATTAAATACTGCACTTCTATCGCACGGAATTTGACACATTAAAGTTTTACTCATTGTACCGCCCATTTCCTCTAATACTGCTGGAATGTCTATCGTTAAATCATTACCTAAAATAGATAAGTTAATGGCCCTTAGGTTTGGAATCACATGCTTCACCCTTCTATTTCTCGTCTAACTTAATTTCCTCACTTTAAAATTACAGAACGAATCTAATGAATTACAAATGCGCTTGCGCAACTTATCGACCAATTACCAAAAGTTTGAAGATAAAAAGCGGCGCATCGATGAATGCGTACAAACCGAAGAGGTGAGTTCGAAACAAATGCCTTAGAAAGTTACTGAATTTCTATCGAAAACCTTTCTTTGAAAACACAAAAAAAAATATTTTTTGCAGACAAATAAAAAACGCAAACAAAAGGAATTAGACAATCAATTGAAAGTCGCGAACAAGCGTGGTGAACGTATAGATACTGAACGTGCACCCGATGATATACTCGATGATATTAAAATAAGTGAAGTTAAATTAAGGCAAGGTGCACCGATCAAAGAGGATCCCAAGAAGCTCGAGGAGGAAATTAAGCGTTCGAAGCGTACATTAACCGTTGATCGGAGCACGTTGAAGACATTTAAGTTGGTTGCTGAGCAACTGCGCCAATCACAATCGAAGCGTATGTACTTTGTTAAAAGTTTCAAGGGTCATATGGTGACAATGTTGCAGTATACATTCAATGTGAGTAGTTGCTTCTTGTCGCGGCAGTTTATTTTTAATACCTTCACAATTTTTTTCTGTTATTCTCACCTCCTACAGAACGTGCTGAGTAAGCGTCGCTTTACCGGCTCCATTGAGGTCAATCACAAGGAGCAAACAATGGAAATTTCTGTGGTGCCGCGTGATAATCACATCGAAGATGCTGTAACCAACACGCGTGCACTTTCCGGTGGCGAGCGTTCATACACAACAGTGGCTTTCCTTATCTCGCTGTGGGCTTGCGTTGATCATCCGTTCTTCTTTCTGGACGAATATGATGTTTTTGCGGTATGTTTCACTAAACCTTAATTTTTTTTGAGTTTTTTAATTTTATTTTTTCCTTTCAAAGGATGAGGTCAACCGCGAATATATGACCCTTTTGCTGAAAAATGAAGGACAAAAGCGCGCAAATCGGCAATTTGTATTTCTAACACCGCAAGACATGTCGATTGAAGCCACTGATTTCATAAGAATACATCGGTAAGTGTTTGGTTAATTAAAAAATAATATATTTTTAGTTATAAAAGCTTATAGTTGTTGCAACAAAGTCCTTTATGCTATACTAAATTTGAGTATATTTTTATCCACAGTTTGGCAGAGCCGATTCGTAACTAACAGCAATTAAACTGAACTCATTCCATCCTTCGAACAAGTATACGTTTGCGCTCAGGCAGCGCCCCGTTTTTTCAATAATTTCCTTTCTATCTATTCGTTTGTGCTAGCAGTACCCAGTATCATTTAATTTAGTATCGAAAACTAATGATCGATTAACTACACGTGAATTTTTTTTCGTTTTATTTATATATAAGTTTTATATGAAGATATACGTGTCATTATGCACATTACTCTAAACATTTATGTATGGCATATATGCATTACGGTGGTCCTTAAAATATATACGCACAAAGCCATCGTCGAAATTTTCAAAATTAAGAAAAAAAAATATAAAAATTTTGACTTTGACCTGCTATAACTCAGCGAATTTATGAATTTATATGAGCAAGTTTCAGTATCCTGAGTTACAGCTGGTCAGAGTCAAAATTTTTACAATTTAATAAAAATTTAAATTTTTCAATTTTAAAAGATTGGTAGATGGCTTTATTTTGTACGTAGAACAAAATAATGCTGTGCTCTATACAAAATTTAAATGTTGGTATTTCAAGGACCACCCTAATATACATTAATGGGTATAGTTTTCTAAAGAAAAACATGTATTAACATTGAAGTGTGTTTATAAATTTTCATATGTTTTGTTAAATCGTTTAATGTTAACGTTTATATGATTTAGCCATAATAAAAGATATTACTTTCAATAAGTGACATGCGACTGGAAAATAAATTTTCTGCGTATTATAGTTGAAGTCGATGTCGTACCTAATAAAATTTTAAATATTTTTTCGCCCATTGCGGGTATAGTTTTTTATGAATTTTTTTTTATTTTTTTCCATAGGATATGTTTTTAGTTTATGGCCTTATTCATAGAATAAAGTAGATTTAAAGAGCCTTATATAAAGTATTTATTTTTTATGAATTTAGGTGTTAGTATTTTTGGAATCTCTAATTTTTATGTTTTCATATAAAATTTAAACTATTAGCATTTTCCTTCGACCTTCTCGACAAATCCTGGTTTAGCGCTGGCAGCAACTGTCTTATTGCATTCTTTTACCACTTCCTTCAGCAGCTCGATCTCGTCTTTGATGAAATCCAACTCTTTTTCAACTTCGTGGCGTTGGTAAACCGGATCACGACCTAAAAATGGAAATACAAATTTAAATAAAATAATCTTAACTAATTCGAATCTTACCATCATTTCAGCACTCACCTTGTCGGCGTCGTAACATCCGATAAATATCGCGTATGCCATCCAATGCCCGATCCTTATTCAGCTCATTCGCTGCCACACAATCTTTGGCGTTCGCCAAAATACGCTCCCAGTGCAGACATTCGCTACGCGCTGTATTATATGAACGCTCCAGCTCAGCCAAATCGTTCTTCAAACCCAGTACGGTAAGCGCTGCCTCATTGGTCACATTTACCATTCGTTTGCGCATCTCTTCGATTTCAAGAAATTTCTCCTGCTCCAAGCGCGATATCTCTACTTGTGCCAACACTGCAGTTAAAGCAAAAAATTTAAGTAATAAAAAGAAAAATACCTATTATCCACATAGAGAAACAGGTAAGCAGTACGCACTCAATGCATCACAACGATCCATGCAATCTTTCACCGAATCAAATATCTCTGACTTCTCCACTACTTCCTGTATAACAGTCTCATACGGCTCCAACTCGTCTACAGTGGCCTTGAGCACTTCACGAAACTCATTTAGCTCCGCTATAGCGCGCTTAAACTTTTGTATATTTTCTGCCAGCTCCGCATGCAATGCTGTCTCCTCGGCCACTTTCTTCTCCGCAACGCGTTTCTTATCATCGCAATCTTTGATAAAACTATTCACTTCTATAAAGCGTTTACGCAAATTTGCTTGTATCTTGTAGAGTTTGCGTATGCGACTGGCATTGTTGGCTGCTTGGCGTTTAGAATTCTCCAGCATTTCATCCTGCAGACGCAACATGACCGAATGTTCGCGCTCATTGCGTATGTAGAGCAGCTCAATGGAATCGCCTGCTGAATCCCAATTTGGCGGTTTGCTTTTAGTTGGTTAATATGTTAGAATATTAAACGCATTGGGCAAACAATTAGAGGAGATAGTACTCACACAAAATATGCATTCTGTTGCTTTGATTCGATATAGTCGCCAACAGCCTTCTCTGGACTCAAATCCAAATTACCAATGACATCGATTTTTGTCGTTGGCTTGAGACGTGGCATTTTCCAACCACTGAATTGATAGTAATAGATAAATTTTTAAATTGTAGCAATAAAATATATGGCGTGTTGAAATAGTTTATTTCTGATTGCTGCTTGTTAATTCAATTTTCTTGCTGTTGCTTTGGCAACAAGCAGTCAGTTGCCTGGCCTTTCCATGATTGCGATGACGGTTATTTATAAGCTTTGTTTATTTAGCTGAACAAAAAAGGCCTTTCCTTTCGACATCAAATGCCATTTCAAAAACTGGACTCATGTTTCGGAATGTGAAACATGGTGAATTTAGGGGACCTGTAGGCAGTTTCAGCTCAAATTATGATCAAAGTAAGCGACAACATTAAAGAAACCTCTTTGCAGGTCTACCAAAACGGGTACATGCCACCTGAGGTTCAGAATTTTTACCTCTTATATGTATGTACGTAAAGTAGTACTGAAAACCTCGATTAGAAGGTCGCGGCTATACACAGTCGTTGGTCTGGAATAACCGTTACAAGGTATAGCGGAATTCTAAAGGAAAAATGTTTAATAATGATACTCTGAAAATAAAACTAATAAATTTTTTAATTAATTCTTCGTGGTATTAAAAACAGGATTTTTTCGCACTTACTGTTATTTTTTAAGCATTAAAGCCAAACACAAAAAAAAGCATATGTTATTTTTTCATGTTTTTTATATTATATTTTAATTACTGTATATAGTACATATTTATGTGAATGTATGTGTGCAGTTATGTATAATAATTAAAGCCCTTCACATAATTGGCGCACTTACTGAAAGCAAAAATAATAAAAAACATAATTTCAGAAAAGTTGTTTGTTTTAAATATGTACTCAATTTTTTACATCTCACTTAAATTTTAATTGTGTGTTTTTATTAAATTTATTTGTTCAATAATAATGTGAACGTTTTTTTGTTTAGGACAAATTGTAGCATTTTTTTGTTAATTTAATAACAACAAAAAATAATACGTAAGAGAACCAGTGAATATTACAACTATTAACCTTTACGCTATTTCATTTAATTTGTTGTGGGAGTAAAATTACTGCAAGTCGCTTTAAATGCACTTATCCATGCAACAAAATTTTATGAACGATATTTTATAGAATGTCATTCTAAAAATTCCGACGTAGTATGTATATACTCGTAATTGTCTGCATTTTCAAATACTAGGATTTAGTTGTATAGTTTTTTATTTTATTAAATTATTTTAGTTTTAGGTTTTACTTGTAATAAACTTTACGTTTCTTAATATTCATAATTTTTGCTTATTTTGTAACTAATACTTCCTCTTTTACGTTGTATTTAAATTTTTTGTTTTTTCTTTATTTTATTTTGTTGTCGAGCCAGTTTCACGCACTTGTCTATTGATTTCCTCATTGTAACTGCATATTTTTATTACATGCTGTTTTTTTNCCAAATTACCAATGACATCGATTTTTGTCGTTGGCTTGAGACGTGGCATTTTCCAACCACTGAATTGATAGTAATAGATAAATTTTTAAATTTAATTTTTTAAATTGCAGCAATAAAATATATGGCGTGTTGAAATAGTTTATTTCTGATTGCTTGTTAATTCAATTTTCTTGCTGTTGCTTTGGCAACAAGCAGTCAGTTGCCTGGCCTTTCCATGAGTGCGATGACGGTTATTTATAAGCTTTGTTTATTTAGCTGAACAAAAAAGTCCTTTCCTTTCGACATCAAATGCCATTTCAAAAAGTGGACTCATGTTTCGGTATGTGAAACATGTTGAATTTAGGGGACCTGTAGGCAATTTCAGCTCAAATTAAGATCAAAGTACTCTTTTGCAGGTCTACCAAAACGGCATAGCGGAATTCTAAAGGAAAAATGTTAAATGATACTCTGAAATTAAAACTAATAAATTTTTAAATTAATTCTTCGTGGTATTAAAAACAGGATTTTTTCGCACTTACTGTTATTTTTTAAGCATTAAAGCCAAACACAAAAAAAAGCAAATGTTATTTTTCATGTTTTTTTTTTATTATATTTTAATTACTGCATTTAGTATATATTTATGTGAATGTATGTGTGCAGTTATGTATAATAATTAAAGCCCTTCACATAATTGGCCCACTTACTGAAAGCAAAAATAATAAAAAACATAATTTCAGAAAATATTAAAAATTAAATATGCACTAAATTTTTTACATATTACTTAAATTTTAATTGTGTGTTTTTATTAAATTTATTTGTTTAATAATAATGTGAACGTTTTTTTGTTACATTTTGCATTTTTAATTTAATAACAACAAAAAATAATACGTAAGAGAACCAGTGAATATTAGAACTGTTAACCTTTACGCTATTTCATTTAATTTGTTGTGGGAGTAAAATTACTGAAAGTCGCTTTAAATGCACTTATCCATGCAACAAAATTATATGAATGATATTTTATAGAATGTCATTCTAAAAATTCCGACGTAGTATGTATATACTCGTAATTGTCTGCATTTTCAAATACTAGGATTTAGTTGTATAGTTTTTATTTTATTAAATTATTTTAGTTTTAGGTTTTACTTGTAATAAACTTTACGTTTCTTAATATTCATAATTTTTGCTTATGTTGTAACTAATACTTTACTCTTTTACGTTGTATTTAAATTTTTTGTTTTTCTTTATTTTATTTTGTTGTCGAGCCAGTTTCACGCACTTGTCTATTGATTTCCTCATTGTAACTGCATATTTTTATTACATGCTGTTTTTTTTAAATTTGTTTACAAATGGCAGGGAACTATAATATGTTTAGATATTGAATATAGACAGTAAATAACAATATTTTAAAATGTATATATTCGTATGCATGTACATATGTATATTACAGGAAAAAGAAAACGTTAAAATTTACTTTTCTTAAATTTAACTTTATTTTTTNTTTGCTTTCGGCCACCAAAAATTAGTACAAAATATTTCATAAAATCTCAGTTTTTTTATTAAATCCTTGTTCTTAAATAACTCTCGATTAACGTACCTTATGTGCACTTTGATCTAAATTTTTAAGAACTTCAATTTAAGCACATATGGCAACCCTATTCTCAAAAGACTTGAATTAAAAAATTTTCGAACGCCTTTCGTTGGCTAACTGTAGTATATAACCTCAAATACGTTGTTTTTACTTAATCGCATATTTTTATTGAATATTTATTTTAAATTCAAAAGCTTTCTTTCAGATAAAAATGCCAGTCAAAAGTTTTAAAAAGGTAGGGCAGGCTCTTTCATACAGTGTATTGTATCGAAGCGCTAAGCTCAAATTATTAACTATAATTTTAATTTGAAATAAAATTTTTAACTTTTCTTTTAAATAAAATAAAAATAAAAAAGTGTTCAAAAACTAAATTCTTTACGTACTTTGCAAATTCGTAGTACATATTTAGCTGCTGCATTTTCGTATGAGTTTAAAATTAAGAACTAAAATTCCTAACAGAAGTATACCTAATATATTTTTTTATAAATAATTTGAAATACCCTAAAAATTAAAAAAAATATATATACACATGTGCATATGTATCCTCTGATTCTCATAATTATACGACCCCCACATATTGACTAGTTTTGACTATTTATTTTTTTTTTTTTATTATGTAATTTCAATTAGTTTCTTAAAATTTTTTTACATAAAAACCCATCGGCTTTATTGCGAATTTCACGTGTACAAATATTCCCAAAAATCGAAATCGAAAAACCTTTTTTCCCAATACGTTTTTGTTTTGGCTGAAATTATGAGAACTATTCGTTCACATGGAGTTGGCGATAAGGCTGTATATAAATCCAAGCTTCGAACTTTCTACAAAAATTACGAGCAATTTTTAAGCAAAGAACCAAACCGATTTCAGTTGTCATATAAAAATTGAAGAGTACCGTTAATTTCATAATCCAATGATCGGATCTAAACTAAATTAGTATGGCACTATCTCTGAAGCTATGCGGTAAAATACAAAAAATATTCCGACGAATTAATAGTCTCCCAACGAAGTCGGTTAAAAAAACAATCACAAAGTTTCATTAAAATTTCACACTTTTTAATTACAATTTTGAGAAAAAATTTGCAGTATTCAAAAATTGACTACCCAAAAATTTTCTAAAAATTCTGAACAAAAAAGTGAATTTTTGATGAACATTTTTAAATTTTTTATTTTTTTTTACAAAGTTTAAAACTTGGAGTTATATACGGTCGTATAATTATGAAACGCGCTGTATGTATATGTAGACTGCAAATAACAAACACTTCGCACTCGATTTTATTGAAGAAAATTTCGAACCATAAATTTTTACTAATTTAAACATCAATTTAAAACAACAAGAAGCTATTTTTTATTTTAATTTAGTTGCACTTATTGATTTTTCATTAAACATTTTTAACATATTTTTTTAAATTATTTGTTCATTCAGCTGTAAGCTTTCACTATGAAATTCCAATGAGCGGCACAGGGATGACCAAATATCAAATGGATTCAAAGATTACATATGTACATATGTAATTATTTTGTTGTTTGTATGGTTATGTCATTAGTTTTACTTGTAACTGTAAAAAGAGAGAAGTTATTATTTTTTTAAATATCCAGTTAAAGTTCATGTTGGTGATGATGATCATCATTATGATTGAGGCTAAAGGTGTTTGATGTGAAAGCGTTTACTTGAAGTGTACAAATTATCAAAATAATTGCAAAATATACTTCAAAAAACTTTCGAAATTTTTAACTTCGAAAAATGTAACTACAAAAACTCAAAGTAAACATTTTTAACAGAAAGATGTTTAGAACTTTTTTAATTAAAGCAATTCTGAAATTTCGAACTTGGGTCCAAATTTATGGAACTCGAATTTTCATAAAAAATAACGCAAATATAAAAAAATTCGAGTAGCAAGTTCATGTGTTTTTTGTTTTTCAAATTTAAAATTCGAAAATAGATGTACGAAAATTTACATGCATATATGTATCAGTATTTTTGAAACTCAGTTTCGAAGAATTAAACAAACTCTGAATTCAACACTTTTATAGTTTTAAACACAATTACACTTAGCATCGTTACCAAAAAAAAAAATCAAAACCCCAGCTAGCTGAGTTCAAAATTAATTAAATTTCGAAGTTAAGCATACAAAAATTTAAATTTTGGAAAAAAAATATTTTTCACATCATGTGGTTAACTGATTTTAGCTGCCTAGTTCAGATTCTGAAATTTGAGAGAAAAACTAACTTCGAATTAAGTATTTTTCCCCATTATAAATCGAAATTAACTTTGGTTGAAATTAACTTTTCGATTTAGGTGAAAAGATCGCCAATTGAATTTGGCCTAATCAACTTCCAAAATTTCAACTTATAAAAATAAATTACAGTGTTTTCTCGCTCATATCAAGTCTTAGCCGCCAAAAAGTTGTGAACATTTTTTCAAAATTTTCTTTTTGATACGAAATGGTCCAGATGTATTTCTGCATCAAAAAAAAATTGTCGCTTACATCTTTTTTGGCGGTTAGGGCTCGATATGTTTCTGATTGTCCAACGAGGATTTTTAAGTATTGAAGTTATTTTCGAAGACAAGTATGGCGATCTAAATTTATTCATGTATAGAACTTGGGAAATTTTATTCGAATACTTTTCTATCTCATTTTTTTCACCAAAAATTCGAAAATCAAAATTCGCGAGACAAATGCAGATTCAAATGAAAAATTAGAAAAGATAAAAAGTTCTAAAAAAATCGACATCGAAAATTTTCGAATTCGAATTTCAAACTCCTAAAAAAAATGTTTCGCTTAAAAATTCAAAATACTTCATATCAGTAGCTCGTTTCTGTAACAATTCTCTACCAAGGCGAATTGAGATATGAATTCGCCGCCCTGTTCTCTACTGCTAATTAGTAGGTGAGAGTGACGTATTTTCTCTACCAGTAGAGAAATAATCGGTAGAGAAAAGTTACAGAAACGGGCTACAGTTCATTTTAAAATTTCGGAGTGGCTTTCGAATGCAAGTATCGGAATCTGAATTTTTTCTATGAACAAATCCTGGAAACGAAAGTGTTGATACTTTGAAACACGAATTCGAATACTGATAACTTAATATTTTCCAACACCATAATTTTCATCGAAAATTCGAGCATATGAATTGAAATTTGTTTGGAAAATTTTGGAATTTCTGAATTCAGGTACTGCAATTCACTTCCGAATGAATTCCAACCAAAGTCACTTAGAATTCAAATTGAATGGAGCAGAAATTCACTCGGAAGTGAAGTGACTAATTTCGAACTTCGAAATTAGATTTCGATAAATTGTAAATCGAATGTCAGAACTCGCAAGTGAAATTTCTGAAAAAAAAAATAAAATTCGAACATCAAAATTCGTAAGTCGTGGTCTAAAATTACANTATTTTTATTTTAATGTTGTAACTACAGCTACATTTATGTGGGACATTTTATGCTCGCGTTTTTCGTTTTTTAAGACTTGCATGCCGTACATATGTACATATGTATGTATTTACGTTTTTTGCAGGCGCACAGGCGTGTGTGTGTGCGCATACTCTTACAACGCGATTGGTAATGTTCGAAAATGTTGTTGTAGTTTTTAAATTTCGCTTTCAAAAGTTGTAGTGTAGTGGTGTGTTCGTGTAAGTGTGTTTTGTAGTTATTGCCTACATTCCATAGCCGGGATATGCCATATTTGGCGCATAGCCAGGCGCCGCCGCATAATTTTGGGCATATTGTGGAGGTATACCCATAGCCGGTCCAGCGGTTATCATCAATTGTGGCTCCATTGTGATGATGTTCTTGTGTTCGACTGTTTCGTCCTCCTTTTCGCGTTGCGCTTCGGTTTGTTCCAGCTTGTCGACTTTTGTGGTGTATTCGCGTATTACCTGTAAGGAAAGGGAAGGGGTTTAGGTTTAGTTTGTTGTAATATGGGGCGCGTAAAATCTATTCCTTTAAAAATTTCAGTACTCAAATATGTTTAAAACACCGATATGAAAATTAGTGGAATTCTCTTATAAAGAGGTACTCACTTGTATCAAATACGGCATAGCAAAGTCCATAATATTGTGTTTCCATGCCAGCTCCAGTATAACATCAGGCCGCAGCAAGTCGTAGCACTGCAAAAAAGCAAGCATAAATAAAATGAATTAATAAACCTCTTGCTGGCACTCATATCTTTCAGTTTGCCTAAATTTGTTTTTTTTTTATCATTTTTCTTTCTCTTGTCGTATGCACTCTGCCTATTGCGCTGCATATCCCATTTTACCATCAGCCCTATCGCTAATGCCGTGTGAATAAACTGTTCCCATAATTTAGCATGCAAAACAAAAACAAATTGTTTTTGCTTTACTTTATATTTTTTGGGAATATTTGTTGTAGTAAAGTTGACTACATTGGGCGATTCAATTAAAACATTTTAAAAGTAGTAACTACTTGCAAGGTTAGCGTTTTCGTACTTTTTCGGATAGATCTCTCATTGAGAGTGATTCTTGGAAATTAACTGGCATGTTACCGGATATATTTTTTTTTCTCTTAATCTTTCCTCTTTGAATATTATTTATCTATATCTCACTCTAGCTGCATATTTTCTTTTTGAGTTTCTAATCATTTAATTTGTTATTTTAAGGATTTATTTCCATTTCCTCGGTTTCTATTGATTTTCTTTTTTTCTCTCCCTCTTCTCAATTATACCGAGGGGGAAAAGGGAATGCATTAACTTTTTTCTCTCAAGAAAATCTTAACAACTACGTTTGAACGAAAAGCGAGCAATGTCGGCGAGCGGATGATGTGCAATTTCGAAAAAAAAANCAAAGAAAATTTTAACAACTACGGTTGAACGAAAAGCGAGCAATGTCGGCGAGCGGATGATGTGCAATTTCGAAAAAAAAACAAAAACAAAAAATGAAAAAACAAAAAATTTTAGAATTAACTCAAGTATGTTTTTTCACGTTATCAAAACTGTTGCTGCAGCCGAATGTATGCGTGTTCGACTGCCGTGTCGTTGATCACGGGCTTAAAACCTAGTGCCATAGAACTTTTTCAATTTTTTATTTTTTTAAATTTATAAATTCTATTTATAGATTCTATAGCAACATGCGACTCATTACTTTCGTATGACAACGCTGTAGGGAAATTCTTGCATCTTTTCGTGCATGGGTTATAGGGGCTATCCATTACTTTATGCATTCCCTAACATTACCTTTTCCCGCAGGGTCTTTCTGGCTTCCCAATTTTCCCTCTCTCTCCCCTCAAATTCTGCTCTCTTCAAATTAATCTCTCTCAATTTCTCCTCTTCTCAACTTTCTCTACCTCTCTTCTCTACATGTCTCTCAATATTAGCTTGATCTCCCGTTATTTTTTCTTTTTATTGAAAAAACTTTAATTTCCGGAAATAAATGTATTCTCGACCAAAAAACTGTAACCTTCATAAACGAAGTTTTTTAAAAATTTAGGCTTTTTTAAATTTTATATATTACATAACAAAAACTATTAATTTGAAATAAAATAACATAAAACGGAATATTAAAATCACATTTTGTTTTAATGAGCCTCAATTTCATTATTTAGCGTAAATTGCTGTTTTTTTTTTTGAACATTTGATTCGATACCTCAAATTCCTGCATAATTAAAAAAAAGGTTAAGTTTTTAAAATACTAGAGAGTGCTGGAATTTGTAGTATATTTTATTCAAATTGATTTGGGAAACAATGCTCCTTCATCGTCGTCTTTTATCTTACAAATTTGCTTACAAAAAACCGAGAGGGAAATTTTAATTTATTCGTTCAAATCGTAAATTTCGAAAAAGCTGCAATTTGTACTATGAGGTAATTTTAACAACTGTAAGCTTGTCTAAAAACTGTAATTTACAGTTAAAACTGTGAATCAGGCCACAGTGTTCTATACCTACTTCTCTCTATTTTTCCAAACCTTTCCTGTCCAATTCCTCGTCTCTCATTTTTGTATTCCTTTTTTTTTCTCAATCCCACTCTCAATCCCCTTGTTACTTTAGGTTTTTGTACTCACTTGGAATAAACAGGCAGCGAAGCAGTCGTGGGCATTGCGTTCGAGGAACCAACCCAAAAGCTCTTCAGCAATCTCTTGTTTGCCCGATTCGGCCGCATACTCCATGGCGTCCTTGTAGAGTTTATCCTTTTTGCACAATTCGACACTCTGCTTCCAGCGGTTGTTGCCTAGAAGAATTGTAACGAAAGGAAATGGAAATTTAAATGATTAAGTAACTGTGATTAAAAAAAATTATTTTTCTAAAGTAAATATTTGAAATCAAAACATATTTGTGGAGACTTCAAGTAATAAATAAGTTCCCTCCATTTTTTAACATTTTCTGAATTTCCGACTATACGTAACCATTCTCTGCAGCATTTTTCACACGCAAGTTTCTTGGCGGTTTCTCTTTTTTTTTTTACCTTTCAAAACGGACAAAATTTCGAACTTGAAGTCGATTTTCCCTTTGCGCTTTTACCAACCCTCCGACGGTTAATTCCTCNGTAAAGTTGACTACATTGGGCGATTCAATTAAAACATTTTAAAAGTAGTAACTACTTGCAAGGTTAGCGTTTTCGTACTTTTTCGGATAGATCTCTCATTGAGAGTGATTCTTGGAAATTAACTGGCATGTTACCGGATATATTTTTTTTTACGTGAACAGAGCTATCTATTTTCTCTTAATCTTTCCTCTTTGAATATTATTTATCTATATCTCACTCTAGCTGCATATTTTCTTTTTGAGTTTCTAATCATTTAATTTGTTATTTTAAGGATTTATTTCCATTTCCTCGGTTTCTATTGATTTTCTTTTTTTCTCTCCCTCTTCTCAATTATACCGAGGGGGAAAAGGGAATGCATTAACTTTTTTCTCTCAAGAAAATCTTAACAACTACGTTTGAACGAAAAGCGAGCAATGTCGGCGAGCGGATGATGTGCAATTTCGAAAAAAAAAACAAGAACAAAAAATGAAAAAAACAAAAAATTTGAGAACTAACTCAAGTATGTTTTTTCACGTTATCAAAACTGTTGCTGCAGTCGAATGTATGTATGCGTGTTCGACTGCCGTGTCGTTGATCACGAGCTTAAAACCTAGTGCCATAGAACTTTTTCAATTTTTTATTTTTTTAAATTTATAAATTCTATTTATAGATTCTATAGCAACATGCGACACATTACATTCTTGCATCTTTTCGTGCATGGGTTATAGGGGCTATCCATTACTTTATGCATTCCCTAACATTACCTTTTCCCGCAGGGTCTTTCTGGCTTCGCAATTTTCCCTCTCTCTCCCCTCAAATTCTGCTCTCTTCAAATTAATCTCTCTCAATTTCTCCTCTTCTCAACTTTCTCTACCTCTCTTCTCTACATGTCTCTCAATATTAGCTTGACCTCCCGTTATTTTTTCTTTTTATTGAAAAAACTTTAATTTCCGGAAATAAATGTATTTTCGACCAAAAAACTGTAACCTTCATAAACGAAGTTTTTTAAAAATTTAGGCTTTTTTTAATTTTATATATTACATAACAAAAACTATTAATTTGAAATAAAATAATATAAAACGGAATATTAAAATCACATTTTGTTTTAATGAGCCTCAATTTCATTATTTAGCGTAAATTGCTGTTTTTTTTTAACATTTGATTCGATACCTCAAATTTGTACCTCCTGCATAATTTAAAAAAGGTTAAGTTTTTAAAATACCAGAGAGTGCTGGAATTTGTAGTATATTTTATTCAAATTGATTTGGGAAACAATGCTACTTCATCGTCGTCTTTTATCTTACAAATTTGCTTACAAAAAACCGAGAGGGAAATTTTAATTTATTCGTTCAAATCGTAAATTTCGAAAAAGCTGTAATTTGTACTATGAGGTAATTTTAACTACTGTAAGCTTGTCTAAAATCTGTAATTTACAGTTAAAACTGTGAATCAGGACACAGTGTTCTATACCTACTTCTCTATTTTTCCAAACCTTTCCTGTCCAATTCCTCGTCTCTCATTTTTTTATTCATTTTTTTCTCAATCCTACTCTCAATCCCCTTGTTATTTTAGGTTTTTCTACTCACTTGGAATAAACAGGCAGCGAAGCAGTCGTGGGCATTGCGTTCGAGGAACCAACCCAAAAGCTCTTCAGCAATCTCTTGTTTGCCCGATTCGGCCGCATACTCCATGGCGTCCTTGTAGAGTTTATCCTTTTTGCACAATTCGACACTCTGCTTCCAGCGGTTGTTGCCTAGAATAATTGTAACGAAAGGAAATGGAAATTTAAAGCAACTGTGATTAAAAAAAATATTTTTCTAAAGTAAATATTTGAAACAAACTGAAAAACTGAGCACTGAAAACTGTTTTTGGTGACTTCAAGTAATAAATCAGTTCCTTTCATTTTTTAACATTTTCTGGATTTCCGACTATACGTAACCATTCTCTGCAGCATTTTTCACACGCAAGTTTCTTGGCGGTTTCTCTTTTTTTTACCTTTCAAAACGGACAAAATTTCGAACTTGAAGTCGATTTTCCCTTTGCGCTTTTACCAACCCTCCGACGGTTAATTCCTCTTTCAAAAATTACCCTCGCACTTACCAAGCTTAACACACACTCACCTTTGTACAAGTAGGCAGCAATGCGTCGGAATTCGGTCAATTCGTGCTTCTCCAGCTTTTGTGCCAATGCGATTGTGTCGAAGTTGTCGAATCCATCGATAGAATTACGCAGACCCTGATAGTCTTCCTCCTCGATGAGCAGCCCGTTGAGCGCTTCATTGATCGCTTTGTTATTGAGCGACTGTACCGAACGTAAATAGGGTTTCACCAGCTGTAGGTGACCGGTCTTCGAGAAAAAGCTTACAGCACGTGTATGATCCATACGCGGTGCCAATACCAACAGCATATCGTTCAACAACAGTGGTTTGTAATCCAAGTAAAATTGTATAGCTTTGTAGTAGAGTTCGATGTTGGCCACTTTGGTGATGATATCCTTGAAGTGACCCTCGCGCCAAGCCTCCGTCGGATGTGCCATCATAGCAAGCACTGCATTATCGTACTCTTCATACTTGTCGTAGAGGAATACCAGTTCGGACCAAAGATGTGCCGATTCGGCAGCGCGTAACACTTTTGGGATGTTGACGCGCGACCAAAATAGCTCCAGATGCTCACGCATCTTAGACGGCTTGAATTTCGAGTAGAGTATAGCCAGTTCGGTGAACATGCCCATGTGTGCGCGTTCCAGTCCCAAAGCGGACTCTAACAACGCAATGAGCTCCTCAAAATAGCCGCGATCTTGATAGTAATTGATCAAATCTTCCAATTCGTCGGCGTGCACGACGATGTGCAGGCCACACATTTGCGCCAGACGGAATTCTTCGGCATCGACACAAGCGAAGCACACCTCCTTCCAGGTGCGTGTCGAATTGGCCTTGCGAGCCGAGTCTACGGCGCCCTGGAACTCCTTCAAATAGACCAAAGTGATGGCGAGACGCGCAAAGTTGCTCACGTTGTTGTACAATAGCTTAGCTGCATCGTACATGCCGTCGTTGAAGCAACGATCGCCGATCTTCTGTATATCTGCATGATTCGGACCCGAAATAAACTCTTCCAGATCGGCTAGACGGCCGGTGCGTGCGTAGGCATAGATCAACTCGCTTTCGATGTACGATTCGCGAGCCTTTTTGCGCGCCATCTGCAGATAGCGCACCAGGTCATCCCAGGAGTCGGCCTTCGAGGCGACGTCGACCACATCCATGTACGCGCTCGGATCGTCCGCTTTTATGTAAGAGTCAATGGCTTCCTTGACGAGCCCCTGTTGCAATTGTGCTTTGGCGAGTTGCGACCACACGGCCGGCTCATTACAGCGCTCGGCGAATTCGTTGGCCCGTTCCAAATTGTTCACTTGCTCGATGAGTACTTGTATAGCAGAGGTATTGACATCGAATTTCTTGAAGATGGCGAACGCCTCCTCGTACAATTGATTCGAAATAGCGATATTCGCAATATCGGGTGCATCGTAGTTGTCCAGACGATTGATGTAGTCCATGACGCGTGTATGATCCGCCTTGATGGCGGTCAAGATCAACAAATTCTGCAAGTTGCGATGATCGGAGAACACGGACGAATCGAGTATGATCTTCTCGAGCAATTCAATCAACTCATTGGGCAAATCGGCAGTCATAAAGGCTTTTACCGTCACCGAGATATCGTCGGGATCCTGTGTCTCAGAGAGCGCCGTCTGAACGACCTGGTCAATGAGTTGGCGCTTGTAGGGATTAGACTCGGACAGCACCTCCACCCAGAGTGCGGCATCGCGACGACGCACCAGGTAGCGCGCCTCACTCTTGAACAGCGAATTTTCATTACACACAGCAATCAATTCGCGATCGCACTGCCCACGCTCATAGGCCACACATGCCAAGTGGGGATCGCGTTTCTCACAATAGCGACCAACAACGCGGCTATCGTAGTACTGGTTCTCCTTGAGGAAACGTTCGGGATTGTTATTCGAATCAATGTAGATCTTGGCCAGGGCATTGTGCGTAGCAGGCTCGACACAACCGTCATGCACGCGCGACTCCAACCACGGCAAAAGCAATTTCAAACGATTGCGTTTCTCCACCTCGGCCACTAGCTCATCGGTCGAGAACTGGCCCTTTACGACAAGTATCAAATTTTTGATAATATCCTCGGAGCAATCGACATCCAAGAGGCCACCCACGACGACAGGCAAACGTGATGGATTCACCTTTTGCACATAAATCTCAATGTACTTCTGCAGATTGTTGCGGTACAGGTAGAGCACCAGATCGTGCACGAAATCGAAGCGATCGCAAACGATTATCAGCGGCAACTGATCGGTCAATTTGGCTTCCTTCAGGAAATTCTTGACGCGCTCGGCATTGTAACAGTTCGATTCGCGACATATNTTCAATGTACTTCTGCAGATTGTTGCGGTATAGGTAGAGCACCAGATCGTGCACGAAATCGAAGCGATCGCAAACGATTATCAGCGGCAACTGATCGGTCAATTTGGCTTCCTTGAGGAAATTCTTGACGCGCTCGGCATTGTAACAGTTCGATTCGCGACATATACGCTCCACTTCCTTGATTTGGTTGGTTTTGCAAGCGGCCTGTATGTACTTGAAGTGCACCTCCGGATCCTGCGAATAGTTGACGATCGAGCCGAGGAAGTAGAAGAGCCCCTCGTAAGACTTGAAACTCTCGAAGAGATCGATCAGCGCCTTGGTGGTTAATTGTTCGTGGTATTTGGTGGCGATTTGAACGCAGATCTGCAAGTTCTGACGTATATTCGCGGTCAACATAGCTTTCAGGCACTCCAGCGAATCCTCCACGGACAGCGTACCAAAGTAGCTGACTAGCCAGTCGGCATTCAACAGATGTGTATGTACCACGGCGCGCTTGATATCATACAAGTCGGTATAGTGCTCCAATGCACGCTGCAGCAGACCTGCCTTCTCGCACAGCTGGGCGATGTGCGCGCGATCGTAGTGCGTGAACATGGCGTTGCCAAGTATGGCATCGGCCACTTGCGGCGCCGAAATCAAGTTCATTTCAAGCAAACGCGTCTGCAAAGCACCTTCATTCGCGCGATTGTGCTTGAGTGCGTCCAAGAGGAAGGCTGTGCACTGCTGCACCATCGAATGCTCCATAAAGATATCCACAATTTGGTTAATGTCCGCAAGCGGCTCCTCCTCTTCGGCCACCAGCATTGAAGCGAAACCAGCGCCCTGTTCGGGGTTGGTGCGCATCACTGAACGCAAAAGGAAAATATAATCCGGCGTGTAGTTGACCTTCTTGGCGTACAAAACAATCTTTTGGAATTGACCCGTTTCGGCAAAACACTGAATAACCTTGTTGGGCACATTGGCGCGCAAATAGATCGAAAGCGCCAGCGTCAAATCAGATGTTTTCACCAAATCGCCCAGCTCCTCGCTGCATTCGAGCTTCTCCTCCTTCAACCACTTTTCACATAACTGCTTCTTACCCTGCACCAGTACCGGTCGGCACAACTCCAGCGATTCGTACTTGTTCAGCTTACCCTGATCCAGCAGTATGCCAAAGTATTGCAATAGCGGTGGCGTCGTTGAGCCAGCGGGCGACTGCACCTGCTGGAAACGTTGTATAGTCTGTGGTGTACGCAAAATGCCCTTGGGTGCCAGTGCAGCAACCTTGGCTGCCTCCGCGTACTGGCCAGCAGTGAAGAGCTTATTGAATTTACGCACAAAGAGGTCCTCAGCGCCCGATAGATTATTGCGCACAGCCATGCGCAGTGCCAAATCCGGATTCTGTAATACCGTATTGATATACGGTATGATTTGCTCCTCATCAACGGTCACCGAGAGCACTTGTCCCTTGCGATTAACTCCGATAATGCCGCCGCTGGCCTCGTGCGGTGCTGTCACAAAGATCGTATCCGCCGAGATACGATTCATGTAGATGCACGTGGCCGTTTCCATGTCATACAGATGGATATAGCCATATTTGGTGATCAAATAAATGGCATCATATTTGGCGGAAACTTGCATGGCGACCGGGAAATCGCTTTGTGCCTCGGGCGGGAAGAAAACATCAACCGATTTCTTGGGGAAGGGCTGATTGCCGGCTGGTGGGGCTCCAACTTCGATAATGTGCAGCTTGCCACCGCTAGCGGTGCGCACAGCGAAACAGAAAAGTGTTGAGGGTTCCTTGTTGCCCTCCATCTTGAAGCTGGCGAATGAGGCGGCATGACCTGTACATGATGGGGGAATAAATCACAGTAGGAATTTTCAGTAAGACAAAGTAATAGCACGCATGAAATGCTAAAAAAAAAACTATTTGAAATACACAATACATGTTTAATTTAAATTTTTTTACTCTTATTGATATTTTTGTTAACTACCAACTCACCTTCAATAGCTTGCGACACCTTGCGTTCCACCGAGTATAGCTGCATAGCTCCGGCGACACGATTCGGCAATGCCGAAATGCCTACCAACAACAACCATTGTTGCGATGGATTGCAACGATAATTGATAATTTGACAACCATTCAACGATGAATGACGATCAAACATTTTCTGCGGTGTAGAATCGCCCTCCATGGACCAATGATAGACGGAGGTTTCGGTGACCAGCGCCAAAGTGTTCAAGGAGATCCACTTCCAAAAGACCACGTCCTCGGTCATGGTGTGCGCCTTCATTTTCGATTTCATTTCAATATTGAAGATTTGCAAGGTCTTTTGAGCTACAAAGAGTGAATTTTTTAGCGAATTGTCAGAAATCTGGAAAAATGTAGCAACTTTGAAATTACCTTTGAGCGCAATAACTTTGCTGGCTGGATTCATGATTGCCGAATCGGCGGAGATGGGACGCCTGGTCGGATTGCTGACATCGTTCATGTCGATGATGACCACTTGCGCGGTATCGTTGACCTTTTCGCGCACACAAATGAATTTGTCCGACTCCATGGTGAGAGTGCTGAACGATATCGAATTGAGATTGATGCCGACATTTGTGAGCTGAACGAAATTTTTAGAAAGACAAAAATTAATATTTTATAGGTATGGATCAGAAAGGATGGTTGTTTTATCAGACGATGTACATTAACGCGTATCACGAGAAAACGTTTAGCGTGTGTCAGTTTTATTTTAATAATTTATCGAGAACAAATTTTGGGTGTAAAATTTTTTTTATAGGCACCCGCTAAAAAAAGCTAAATAGCGTTTTTTGCTATAACTTTCTTATTTGATATCCGGTTTTTAAAATGTGTAAGTAGCCGAAAAGGTCTCGCTTAGGCCTATAATTTACCATTAAAAAATTTTGGTTCAAAATACCGTTTTGATTTATACCTTCACTCATTTTGGAAATACTATCCATAGATTTTTATTTTTAATGAGTAAAGGTATAAATCAAAAAGGTTTTTAAAACCCAAAATTTACACACATTTTTTTCGACATAAATATTTAAATAATGCTGACACACGTTCAACTTTTTTTCTTTCATATGTTGTAATACGGACGGCTTAGTGTACATACATATGTAGGTAAGTGTGTAGGTTTTTTGGTGATCAAGGAAATTTGCTCACATTTTCAAAATAAAATCAAAGTTTTGGCAAAATCATATTTGAAAAGTTTATAAAAATACATATATACAGTATTGGCAATATCTATAGCACCCCCTTTTCAAAGTGATATTGATTGCCACTTATGCTTAATTATTAATTTTTAAGAATTTTCAATTAAAATACAGTTCATTCTCTAAAAAACCCATATAAACCCAAGTTTTAAACTTTGTAAAAGACTACAAAAAATTCAGCAAATTTTCACCTAAATTTCAAACTTTTTTATTCAGAAATGTTAATTTTTTTTTGGGTGCGCAGTTTTATTGCAAATTCAATTTTAGTCTAACAATGTCCAAGTTTAAAGTGGCCAAAAGATTTTTGAATACTTGAAAAAAATATTAATTTGGTGCATTTTTTTTCTTCTTTCCATAGATAGCAGTTTATATAAATTAATTATCAAAAAATAAAATAATAATCATTGATCATTCCTGATATCTCTTAAGCTCTTTTTTATAAATAACACAGCAAATATTTTTAAGTTCAAGGTCAATATTTGTTTACACCGTCAGCGAGCTCACCATGCCGCGACCGCACCCTCAGGCGACATGTGCTGAATTGCGGCGCCGAAAATGTTGATTAAGGCAGACACAAAGGAAGCACAAGTTCAAGTAAAAATAAATAAATAAAATCAAAACCTAACGAAAAACGATCAGGGAAAAGAAAAAAGCGTAGACCATTTTTGGCCAAACTGCGCCAAAGCCATACGATGGAATCGCTCCTCTCTCCATCTCTTTTGGCTTAATCTGCCGCAGGCGATGTGATGAGCGCAGCAGACAAGCGATGAAGACATTAAAAATTGTATTCTGCAAGTGCAATAAACTGCCAATTTAAAAAAGTCAGCTGCTCCCGAACAGCTCAAAGTATATGCATTTTATGCCATTTTCACGTAGATATTTGCGATGCCAATGCCATCGGTAAGAGGCCAAACGCCGGATGAGGAGATGTATGTAAATACTGCCTTGTTTTTCTTGCCGACTTCCGTCTGGCGCGTAAGCAAGATAATACGCAGTTGCTCTGCTGTTTAGCGCTCTCGCTATACTCGATTTGTAGCTCTCTGATTTGCGATAGCGCAATGCAGCTGATGGATGATGTCTTCTGCAGAAATGCTTTATTGCATGTTTCTTTGTTTCATTATAAATGCTAGAATGATAAGCATGAAACGAGTTAATGGGAATTTTCATTGGAAATAGATTTCGAAGGCATACGAATTTAGATTACGACGAAGAATATGTTTAAAATTTTAATTTTGAAATAATTCTGTAATATACTGAAGTTCTTTTGATAGAAACAGATATTCGAATACCTGCATTAAGCAGTTTGATTTAGTCCACACTTAGTAAGAAAATCAAAATTTCACTTTAGGAAATATCTCTTGTCGATTTTACGCAATGTTTTATAAATACCTATTAGCATTAAGGGAAAATATTCTATAGGTTTATTTTTATTACATTATCTTAATTTTGCAGCAAAGGTTTGATGAAAAATAATGAAAACGAAAATTTCCCATTTGGGAAATTTTTAAAGTGCGCTATTTTTCAACCGGCATTTTTTCAATATTTACGCTACTAAACCGGCTCATACACCACTCCAAATGATGGTATTGACTTTTTGTCTAGCAACCAGAAATGCCATTCAAATGAACATTAATTTTTCACTTTTTTATGCTACCGTTCAACATTCAACCTTTTTTGCGTGGTGTAAAAAAATCAACACTGCTTTTAGCTTAGGTACTTATGGCTGTGAACTTATTTGACTCTTCGCCACAAATTGCGATGACCTAAATAACCTGGCGAAGTGTGTGTGTGTCTGCGCTTGTAAACTGCTTTTGAAAAGAATATTTTTCTAGAAAGACGACAAATTGCATAGCATAAAAAAGTGCTAAGAAAGTAATGTGGCGTTCAACCAATCAGCGGCTTTTGGATATAAATACATATGTACATACATAAATACATACATACATACAGTATTGGCCAATACAATAGCACCCCCATTTCAAAGGGATATTGTTTCCCACTCATGTTTATTTATTTATTTTTAGGAATTTTTAATTAAAATATGGTTCATTCTCTAACAAAACCCACATAAACCCAAATTTATAACTTTGTAGAAAAATACAAAAAAATTCCACAAATATTCACTAAAATTTCAAAAATTTTTCTCAGAAGTCTTAAAATTGTTTTGAGTTCACAGTTTTATAGCCTATACAATTTTAGTCTAACAATGTGCAAGTTTCAAGTGGCTTAAAATTACCGTTGATTTTTAAGAATTTTTTCGCCGAAGGTGTTGCGGTTTTCTTCCATATACAAATAAATTGTGTTTATTAGTTACATATATGGAAGCAAATGCGACAAAAATAACTCTAAAAAATGAACCACTTGAAACTTGCACATTGTTAGACTAAAATTCAATTTGCTATAAAACTGAGTACCGAAACAAAATTTAACACTTCTGAGAAAAAAGTTTGAAATTTAGGTGAAAATTTGTTGCATTTTTTTGTAGTCTTTTCAAAAATTTTATAACTTGGGTTTATATGGGTTTTGTTAGTAAATGAACTGTATTTTAATCGAAAGCTCTTAAAAATTAATAATTAAACACAAGTGGCAAATAATATCAGTTTGGAATGGGGGTGCTATAGATATGGCCAATATGTATATGTATTTACATACAATTATTCATTTGAAATACTCTCGAAAAGGAACCACTAGTAGTTTTCAATTAGTGAATGAAAGTTCTTAATGACCCCGAAGAAGTCATTTTGTAAATTGAAAATTTTCTTATTGAAATATTTCCAGTCGTCCGTAGGAGATAGTAGTTAGAAAATAAAATGGCAAGTATCATTGTACATACATACATTTGTATATAGCTGCAATGCTATTCTTCAATTTCAAAGGGACTCGTGTTTTATGAAATCACCCAAACATTTAACCATCACAAATTTAACTACCAAGAAAATCAGATCGCATTATCATATAGTGAAAAACATAGTGCATGGTAACAGCGGTAATAATGGAGCAGAAAAATGTGATTATTGTTATTGTGCAGTGGAGTAGAGCGAATAAATGTACGACTGTACAAAAGGGAAACCAATTTAGTGTAGTGAAAATATACAAACGCAATTGGGAGTACGTGTATAACCAGTAGATTTAACGGTAAACAGTGTGGAACTGCATACATAGATTAGTAATTTAATAACGAAGCGACATTCAGTTTAGAATTTTAAGTAAGCGTTATGCATACTTACTCGAATAGACACTCCCATTGAATAGTTGTTTGCTTGTTGAACGCAGTAGGTCAACTAAAAAGCATAGCACATGTATTTTTGGACCACCCTAATGTACATACTATATATTTATACAGCTATGTGAAAATGCCTGTATGAATCTTATATACAAATGTACACGCACATAATAACTGTGTTCTCATTTCTCGAGCGCACCTAATAATTTAATTATGAAACAATGAAAGAAAATGAAGAAATCCAAACCGCAATGGTCAATATTATTTATGAGCTGGCAAAGGCTATGTTTTGCTGCCGGGCAGACAGCAAAAGAGTTGAAAGGCAAGATAAGTAAAAAAAAAATAAAAAATTAAGAAAGAAGATAAAACGAAAAAAAAATACTTAACTATAATCCGCCTGGAAAAAATTAAGGCAACAAATGGAAACAAAGTGTTAAATGACTTCAAATAAGGCAGAAGAAACAACAAAAAACCCAAGTACATGTTTGTACATATGTATGTATAACTATGAGTCAGTCTGCCACAACATCTCTGACATGAGTACATTCACCAACAAGTCCTCTGAGGCGTAAAGAAAAGGTAACCAACCGGTTTAGAAGCTGAAAGGTAAATCGCATACTTAGCCGCAGCAAAAGTTGAAGAAATTTTGATGTAATTTAAAGCAAGTAGCCGGCGACGTCGGCTGTATTATGTCGCAGCCACTTTTGAGAAGTGCTTGCCCATTGATGACGTAGGAATAACTAAAACAGAAAATATTAAATTAGAGATTAGATAATTATAAATGTTGTAAAATATTCAATACACGAGCATGCCGACAGTAGAAAGTATGGGTTTTTTTGAGTTTGAAAGGAAAAATCTAAGAGATCCAGCCAACCCACTGGATGTAAATATGTATATGAAAGAAAGATGATATCAAACTGCAACCTAAAATCTCTAAAAACTCAGTAAATCGCCCATGAAACAAATAAAAGAAAAAGTGGTTTAACCAGAGTCTAATATGTAAATGGAATACGACGATAATTCAAGCTCAAGCTACTATATGTTCGCCCAACCAAATGCCAGCATCTGATGAGTCACATTTTTACACTGTACGAGTGCTAAAAGCATACACGCAGGCACATACCCAAACATACATATGTATATGTATATGTACATTCGTCAGCGCATAAATTTATTGAATGTCAGCAGTGGCTCTACGTAGCGCAGCAACGCGTAGGAATGTCGCAGGCAAGCGGATGAACGGCAGGCATTAAGCCGGCGGCCGGTCGCACCAGTCACCGCCACACTCGGGGACGAATTGGCTTTTTGTTTTATTCCGCTCAATCTACAATGCGCTTAAATTCTTTTTATCTAATAGTAGCTAGCTTGTAGTAAAATCTTGGACACAAATTCATTTTATTTTTATGCTTTGTACAAAGTATATGTATGCGCATGCCAGCACAGTAATTTAATGAAAATGAAGCTGCGATTTGGTGTGCGGAGTGCATTTATGCGGCTGCTAGGAAAGCTGTGAATAAAAAACCTTAAAGTTGATTTTTTATGGAATTAAATATGTATGTATGCACATGCAAACATATGCATGTACCTACATATGTATGTAGAAATCTGTGTGTTTGTACAAACTGTGTGTTGAGCTTTTTATAGCCATGTAGCCTGATAATGAAACTGATTTCGGCTTTACAGCGCTACTTAAAACAATTTAAATGGGGGTGTCGCCAGTGAAGCAACTGAAAACGTTTTACGCGAAAGATCTTCCAACAGCTAATGTCTCTCACGAGTTAATAAAAAACTGCAGATGTTTTTCTGATATGGGCAAGCTACTAATAGAATCCAACCAAAGGCGCGGCGCGGCTATGGTAGCAGCTTGGCCTGGTTCTATTAAAGATCTGAATAGTATAAATTTTGAAATCGGGCACATTCCAGTGCCCCTAAAATACATACCTACATGCATATTTATAATTTTATAAGTTCTTCTCGTACCTAAAAAAAGATAGACATACAGATAAATTCTCGAATACAATTGTATAAAAACGCATTCCTTGATCACCTACCACGTACGTACAAACAAATTAATCATTTTACAATTTTGAGTAGGCACTTACCTGTAAATGCTCCTGGAAGCGTATTGGCAAAACTTGCGTCATTTTCGATTCTGCAACACTTTCAACACACTAAACAAATTTTCTCTGCAACAACGATGCAATCAAGCTTAAGTTGTGGTTGACTGCTTCTCTTGTTGCTTCCGGATCACAGTGCGTGACTCGTTGCAATCGTGATTATTTTTTTAAGGGTTTTCTTTTAAATATACAGATTCTTCAAGTGAATCACGAGCAATGCGTCTTTTATTTCCCTATTTGATTCGTTCGTTCGGCCGCTTTTCATATAATAATTTTTGTCTGCTAGTTTTTAGCACTTATTTACTTTATTTAATTATTTCTTCTCTTAAGTGAACCTTATGCTGCTGATGTTGCAATGAAAACGAAAAATAAGAAAAAACAATGAATGTTAGAAAAAAATTTAACAGCAAGCTGCGCAACCATTTTTAGAGCTTCCAAATCTAATGCAGAAGTATGTGCAATTTTTATAAAGAATTACTATTTCAATATTTAATCAAACCCTCGAGTTCACTTTTCGGTGTTACAAAGCACACCTTAGTTTACAATGCTTGCCCAGCATGCTTTCATTATGAAACACTGAAATTTTGTTCAAAATAATCGTCCTATTAATTTTAACGGCTCTATGTACATATTTTAGTCATAAATTAGGAAAACTACGCGACTGGCCGAAAGTGGGTAGATCGTAAAAACTCTTGCTTCACATAGCGATGTCACCGCCTCCTAAAAGGTCTGCGTAGAAGTCAGCAGAGGCAGCAAATTAATTTTACGAATTTTCTATGCCACGGATTTATTTATGAATATTTTTTTTAACCTAAACGTCACTTCATTATAGCAAAAAGTCAATGCAAAGTTGTAAATTCTGCTAAAGTCAATACTTGAAAAAACAATGAAGAAAATTAGCGGCTGCTGCTACTTCGCACTCGTACTCGGTTGCTGTTCGTCGACGTCGTCGTCGTTTTTTGCCGTTTGACAGCAACACAAAAACAAGCAAAACAAGAAGCGCACCACTGACAGCAAAAATGGCGAATATGGAATGCAGTGTGGTGAATTCAAATTTAGAGCTATGGGGAAAATGACCTAATCGCTGACTTTTGGCCATGTACTTTTTAGGCCAGTTGTATTACCAATTTTACAATTTTAGGCTTTAACTAGCTAATTCAAACATTATTAATGCATATACATATTCCATAACTATGAATAAAATATGCACATAAATCTCTTTCTATTGAAATCTCTTTTGATTAATGAAAACCTCTTGGAAAAATAAGTTTAATCTATAGCCAGGATGCTCTGTAAAAAGTACCACGTATGCCACATAAACAAAACATGAATATGTAAGCTAAAATACGGCGAAAAACTATGTAATGCTATCATAGCCAGTCAACAACCGCCCACCGCGTCAGTAAAGGAAACAACCGTAGGCACCAGAACTAATTATTGAATACCTCTACACGACAGGCAGAACGAGATGGCAAGTTAGTATGTATATTTAACTACTTCAAATGATAGTCAAATTTTTCATTGTAGAGTTATCTGCATTGTCTCGTTCTCTACTGTGATCCCCTGCCTTTTGCGTCGGCTACCCTTTCTCTAGCCAACATTGAAAAAATTTCCACTTTTCCTTTTTGACCAACCACTTTTCAGTGCTCAAATGAAATTAGATTTCGCTGCACATTTACACTTATTTTATCTAGAATTACATATGTCACACAATTACCATTTATTATTGTAATGTTCTTTAATTGTTATTTGGCTAAATTCGCATTTAAAACTCACTTAAATTGCACTTAAACGCGTTTAACCATATTGATTTCTCCACCACCGAAAAGCGAAAATGACAAGAAAATTTCTTTTGACTGATGTCAAATTCGCTTGAACGATTTGCCGTGGTGAATTCATAGAAAGTACTGTTCGATTTATCGAATACTTTTAAGAGCGAAATACACTATACAAGCTTGACAAATCAAGCGAAATATCTTGGCTTCAAGCAATTTGTGTTGTGAATGTACAGGGGTGTTTTGTATTTTCTGGTCGCCATCAAGGCGAATTTATATAAGGAGGCGTCTAATATCAAATTTAAAAATTTTGTTTGAATTCCCACACATACTAATAAAGATTTTGACAATTTATGCCGCCAGAGCAAAAACAAAATACATGGACTCCTGCTCTCACCTCATATTAACTCGCCTTGGTCGCCATGTTGTCGTATGATCAAACCGCTTGTCAAGGCGAAGTTATAAAAGGTGGTGCTCAAGGCGAATTTATACAAGGTGGTGCTGATGGCGAATTTATATTTTCGCCGCGGTACTTAATATCAAATTGATGTGTTTCAAGGCGAATTTATACAAGGTGGTGTTGTAAAATCAGCTGATTACTTCGCCTTACATGTATTTTGTTTTTGCTTTTACTGATTTGACAGCACACCCATCAAAAACAAAAACAAAATACATGTAAATTTTGGGGCGAATTGAGATTTGACATAACACCCGCAATACAAAATACATGTGGTTGTTGATATTGTAATCTAAATTCGCCAGCGGTACCACCTTGTATAAATTCGCTTTGGATGTGTTTGTTGTAATATGAATTCGCCTTGTTTACAACAAACACATCATTTTGACGTTAGGAAGTACCGCGGCGAAAATCTAAATTCGCCATCAACACCACCTTGTATAAATTCGCCTTGGTGGTGTTGCTGGAACAGCTGCTTTGATTTGCCTCGGTACACACCCTACAAGAACAGTGATAGTCCTTTGATTGAGCATGTGCTAATCACTGGTGATGGAGATCTCAATCAAGTACTTCTGTCAGCTTTTGAAGAGCAATATGGAAAACGTGATGTAAACATTTGTGTACATGTGATCTTCCGTCTTCCTCCAACTTATGGCCTTATTTAGTGGTCTCTTTTTAACCAACGCAAAATTTGCAAATGTGTTAGTAAGATAAATGAGAATGTGTTAGTTTCCATCACACAATTCTTGTAGGGCAGATATCATAATTTTATGAATGAGTGAGAAAGTGGGAGTGTTCAAATTGCTCTCCCTCTTCTTCATTAAGTGAAGAATGGCTGAAGTGCACAATATGTATCGAAATCAATAACCTTATATGAATTCGCCTTGCCTCTTGCGTAAAATCTCCTCATTCGCAACGGAATTTTCAGCGAGAGAGGAAAAAAAAATTAAGTTCTTTGCTTGATCGAGTCATGTTTTTGCATGATGTAGGGCGAAATTGGACGAGTATGTTTGACAAGCCGATTGTGTGCTGTACTTCGCTCTTTATCCACACAAGCAGTTTGTGAAACAAGACGAAATTTCGCTTTGAAAGCCCTACACACGCATTGATTTATCGGCCAACTAGTTGCCCAACCTACTTAACGAAATTCCCTACAAACGCACCAACCAGTTGGTCGATTTCATTTGAGTAAGAATTTTTGAGCTGTGACCAACACAACAGCACCGAGCTATGCTAGCAATGCTTCTCATTTTTAAGTATTTGCTATTGCTACCGCAACACTTTTCACAAATTATACCCTTTTTCACCAAATTTCCTACACACGGCTTATATACCACCAACTTTTAGCGGTTGGCCAACTGGTTGGCCGATAAATCGATCCGTGTGTAGGGCCTTTTAGCCACTCCAAATCGGCTATTTATCAAACATTTAACAGTGAGCGCGCACTTCGTTAGGATAACGCGATACTATATTTTCCCCCCTTTATTTATCAGTACTTAATCAACGTTTCTATTTTGTTTCATCTTTCTACTTTATTTTAATTAGAGATTAATTCTTGTATAATGGCTTTTTACAGTGTAATCAATAGTGAAGTTGGCTGCAGTCAGTGATCCCGCGCGTGCGGACAAACATATCTGCCAAAAAGCCAGCAAACGAGGCTGTAAACAATTGTAATTGTGCAAAAAAACAGGCGAGAAAAGTGTACAGCGGCGAAGGGACGCAACAAATTCGTGAATAAAATTTTAAATGTATTTAGTGTGTGCCAAAGCGAACAACGTTGCAGCGCCATAGTGAGTGAGAAAAATCAATAAATATGTAATTGCTGAAATTACAAAGAGCAGAGCAGCATCAGATAAAAAGTGTATTTAATTAAACCGAAAAACGAATAAACTTGTGTTTTATGCAATTATTTGTGGTAGAGCTAATGTGCAAACACAAATGGCCATAAAAAGGACGTAATTTTATTTTATGAATTCAGGTGAGTACAAAATTTATTTGGCTAGCGTGCATTTGCATCCATATAAAATTTTATATAATATCGCCCCTTAAACGTTCATAAGTATATTTCAAGATTATAGTTTCGCATAAATGGCTTCAGCTTTCATAAGTTTTGCCAGCATTCGTTGCAAAATTTCCCCATTTTGTTTTAATAGTTTTGCAGAATTCTATTTGCGGTTTTCCTTTAATTTTGTGCTTCGCTGGTTGCTTGTTGACTTGCTGGCGTTGGTTGTTGTTGTATCTTCCTGCTAAAATACATATTTACGGCCACACAACCATGCGTATATCTGCGCGTAGATGTCTCCTGCAATGCACTTGGGGTTCTGATTTTGTTTGGTTATTTGTTGTGTTTTCTGCAGTACCACAAATTTATTCCTTTGCTAGTTTCTCTTCTCTGGTTTCTCTTTGTATTCAATGTTTTTCTTCGTTTTTTCCTGTATTTGCGCAATACAAACTCCTTAATGGCTTTGGCTTGTTGTTGAGCTATTTTTATATGCTTGACTTGTTTTTGCTTCTTTTCTCCTGTCGGCCAACTTAGTGGTTGTTGCTGATTGTAGTTCTTCATGCATTTAGCGTTTGGGTGTCTATGCTGCTAAACTAAAAAACATTAGCTGTGTTTTCGTATTATCCAGCAAAAAATATCCAGTAACTTGCCAGTAACCAAATTTCGGAGAGTAAGTCAATATTTACTCCCAATGAGTGAAATATGCAAGAAAGTACGAAAACGCAAAACCAGCAAGAAGTTGCTAGTTTTATGAACAGCTGATTTATTTGTTATTTTCCGATGCAATTTTCTTTGAGAACTAGTATTTTCCATCTTATTATATATTTAAATGGGTTTATTTTGTCAATTGCAAGTCTAAAAGCACCACAAACAATTATTTTGTTAATGTGAATTACATTAAACATCATGCCATCAGCTGTTTCTATTGTTATATGGACCAATTTTTATGTTATTTTGCCCATTTGAGTCGTTTACGAACGTTTCCCGGTCGCAACAACGTTTTTTTGGCAGCGACCCGTCCATACAAACCAAAACCATTTTTCCAGGTGAGTCCAAACTTTTGCAGGGCAGTGTACATACTACTTTTATATGTATGTATGTACATAAGTACATTAGACTGCATCAACAAAAAATGTTGCGGTTTTTCCGCCAGGATTACAAAATTTATTATATTTAAAGACGTCCACCAAAATATTTCGGAAAAATTTTAAGATATAAGTGAGCTGGACCGATTTGAAAATACCTCCAAAAATGGAGTTTTTTATGAATAAAAATAGTTTCTTAAATAACTTTTTAAAAAAAGTCCCTTCAGATGACAAAACTATTTTTATTCATAAAAAACTCCATTTTTGGAGATATTTTCAAATCGGTCCAGCTCACTTAAATCTTAATATTTTTCCGAAATATTTTTGTGGACGTCTTAAAATATAATAGGTTTTATGACTCCAATGGAAAAATTGTACCGATTTTTTTTTGTATGGGGAGTGATGCAGTCTAAAGTACATACATACCAAATTTCTGAATTCAAATAGTATGCCTGGCAGAACATTTCTTAATGTTTATTAAAACATAAAAAAACTTGGAAACCTTTTCCGAAGTAGCAGACTTCGAATCTTCCCTTCCCACGACTCTGGCGTCCACGTAACCGAAATCACCCTGATCTATGTACATGTGTACATTAAGGTGATCCAAAAAAAAGCAAGTTGTAATTTTAATGTTTTATACCGAACAAAATTATTCCCTTTTTTTTATTTTGTAATCAAAAAACATTTTGCTCAAAGTGCGCAAAGTTTGTAATGTATTTTATGTATGTATATGAAATAACAAGTTTTCGTAGAAATAGTACAGAATTCTTGAAAACCAATATTTTTTCGATCGGAAAACTTTGTTTCTCCCCACGAGACTTTCAATAATAAATAATATCCATTTTTTATTTAACCATTAAATAAACTATTTTTTATAGGACCCCTAAAAACCTCAAAACATGCAAAGGGGGGGGGAGGGACCCATAATAAATCGCTAGAAATAAAAAATAGTAAAATAAAAAATTTGGTGTTATCAGATTATCAGCAGTCTTCTGAAGATAGTTTTGCGATC